TATTGCCATTTGCCTTTCATTTAGTGCACATGCATTATTTAGATATTTTCTCCCTGTGATCTTTTATTAATAGACAGCAGCAATAAACATTACAGTACTTGATGACAATGCAGTAGTAAATACAAAGTATGAGTACTGATAGGATCCAGCAATTCCACTCTTGGGAATTTATCTGAAGTAAACAAAAACACTAACTTGTAAAAATATCTACACCCTCATGTTTATCACAGCATTATTTACAATAACCAAGGCATGGAAACAACCTAAACATCATGGACAGATGAATGGAGAAGATGTGATGTGATACACACACAATGGAACGATATTCAGCCACTTAAAAAAAAAAAGGAATCTTGCTATTTGCAACTACCTCCATGGGCTTTGAGGGCATTATGCTAAGTGAGATAAGTCAGAGAAAGACAAATACTATTTGATTTCTTAAGCATACTCATAGATATGCAGAACAGATTGGTGGTTGCCAGAGGTGGGGGTTGGTGGTTAGGTGAACTTGGTCAAAAGATACAAACTTCCAGTTATAAATAAGTCCCTGGGATGTGATACACACAATGGTGACTATAATAAGACTATTGAATGTTTGAAAGTTGCTAAGAGAGTAGATCTTAAAGTTCTCATCACAAGAAAAATATTTGTAACTGTGATGGGTGTTAACTAGACTTATTGTGATTATTTTACGGTATACATACATTGAATTATGTTGTACACCTGAAACTAATATGTTATACATTAATTATATGTCAACTTTAAAAAACATGAGTATGAAAATTATGACAGCTTAGTTATAAGGTGGTCATCCAGGTTATCCCAACTATGCTAATGTTAATTTTTTAGATAGTAAAACAATGTATTGTTTTAGAGCTCTCTTGCACCATCTGGAACATATCTGTTTTCCCTAGAGATCTATTAGTTTGAAAAATGTTGGCATAGTCCATTGATAAGAGTATTTTCTTCAATACAAGTACCAGAAACCTTGCTCAAAGGAAATGGAACCAGAAGTTTAATTGAAAAGTCTTAGTAATTAATTTGCTTTGAGCATGGCTAGCTTCAGGTGTTTAAATGGTATCATCGAACTTGAATGTCTTCCTTACCTACCCTCTGTTTCTCTAACCCAGAATCTATGGTTTTGCTCATCTCTTCGTTGGCTTCTTTCTTATGTAGTCTTTCTCCACATAATGACTCCACAACTCCCAGACTTATCTCCTACCAGCTTATTGTTTTAGCTGCTTTATTGAGGTAATTCATGTAACATACAGTTCACTCATTTGAAGTACACACTTCATTGGTTTTAATGTATTCACAACATAGTGCAAAAATTACCATAATCATTTTAGAATATTTTTGTTACCCCAAAGAGAAATCCCATGCCCATTTGTAGTCACTCCATATTTCCCCCCAAACCTGCCAGTCCTAAGCAACCTCTATTCTACTTTCTGTCTTGATGAATTGGCTATTCTTGGGTATTTCGTGAAATAATATAATACATGAGGGGTTTTTGTTTTATTTTTAAAGATTTTATTTATTTATCTTTAGAGGGGAAGGGAAGGAGAGAGGGAGAGAAATATCAATGTATGGTTGCCTCTTGTGTGTCCCCTGCTGGGAGCTGGCCTGCAACCCAGGCATGTGCCCTGACTGAGAACTGAACCATGGTTGTTTGGTTTGCAAGCCTGCCCTCAATCCACTGAGCTACACCAGCCAGGGTTAATACATGGTTTTTTTGACTGGCTTCTTTCACTTAGTATAATGTTCTCAAGATCCATCCATATCATAGTATATATCAGTACTTCATTCATTTTTATGAATGAATATATTTCATTCTATAGGTATTTCACATTTGGTTATCCATTCATCAATCAGGCATTTGGATTGTTTCCAATTATGGGGTATTATCAATAATGCTGCTATGAACATTTGCATACAAGTTTTTGTACACCCAAGCGTGGACATATGTTTTCATTTCTCTCTCACCAAGAGTGGAATTGCGAGTCATACGATAACTTTATGTTTAACTTTGTGAGGAACTACTAAAGTGTTTTACATAGTGTCTGCACAATTTCATATTCCCAGCAGCAGTATAAAAGGGGTCCCTTTTCTCTGTATCCTTGCCAGCACTTGTTCTTTTCTATCTTTTTTTATTATAGCCATCCTAGTAGATATGAAATGGCATCCATTAATTTTTAAATATATTTTTCTTGTAAAATACACATAAAATACAATTAACCATTTAAACTATTTTAATACATTGTTTTTAAATTTTTTGTGCAGTGAACTCTTAAAAGAGTGTTGAATTTTAAAAGTATAAACCTAAAAACAAAAACTATCTAAATAATAATTATAATTATTTATACAGGCAGTCTCCAAAAACTAAATAGTGTGTTCCAAGAGGTGTTTGTCAGTTACTTGGGATACATTTTTCTCCCATTGGAATAGCATATTAAACATGGCTATAGTATCTGTATCTGAGTCAGAAGCTGGAATGGAGAATTCTTTACTCCTCAGCCTGTTTGATGCCAACTCTGTGTTGCATAACCTAGAGACCCTTTGGAGTTACTATTATAGGAGCACCAAGCTTCTAACTGCACATTTTGCTGAATATTTTATTTCTGTAACAGATTAATCTCCCACAGAATTCCTTAGCTTGCCACCAAAACTCTGAAGTAATAAGTTGAGTTTTTTGTGGTGATATTTTTGGAGGGCTCAACTACCTTATTGGATTGCACAGCTTTAGACTGACCTGATTCTAAATGTCATCTGAGGATTTCTGACTTTTTAGAATGTTTGCAAATGTATTAATTGAGGCTCCTTCGTGGCTGCTATGACCCCCAAAAGCCATCCCTGTAGTTAGTCATAGGCAGTAGAAAGGACATGTTTATATATACTGTTTTTACATTAGTACCAATTTTAAGGTATTTGTGTCAATAGATATTTTGTATGATCATTTAATAAAAGTGTCTTTATGAGTCTCATGGGCTGTGCAGTTCTGGCTTAAAAAACTATTCTGCCTCTGGCCTGGTGGCTCAATCAGTTGGAGCATCATCCTGTACCCCAAAAAGTTGCAGTTCAATTCCTGGTCAGGGTGCATTCCTAGGTTTCCGTTTCAATCCCTGGTCAAGGTGCTTACAGAGGAAGCAACTGAACAATCACTCTCTGTGTCTCCCCCTCCCACTCTTCCCCCTTCCTCTCTCTAAAAGCAATAAAGATATGTATTCAGCTGAGGGATTATAAAATAAAATTCTATATTCTTGGCATCAGTAGTAGGTCCTTAATGCTGAGAATTATCAGGTATTTATCTACTTGACATATATATGTATTACAGTAATTCTAGTTGCAAGACAAGTGATAACTATTCATATAATTGAGTTAGAGATTTAAATAGTCAAACCATAGCCTAGGCTGGTGTAGCTCAGTGGATTGAGTGCCAGCCTGTGAACCAAAGGGTTGCTGGGTTGATTCCTCATCAGGACACGTGCCTGGGTTGCAGGCCAGGTCTCCAGTATAGGGTGTGTGAGAGGCAACCACACACTGATGTTTCTCTCCCTCTCTCTAAAAATAAATAAATAAAATCTTTCAAAAGAAATAGTCAAACCTCAGAACTACAGAAATTTGCTTATGTACTGAATTCACCAGAGATTCTTGTAATAGTAATTCAGTCATTTATAGCAGATATTTCTGGAGTTAAAATAGTTTTTTTTTCCCTTTGGTCTAATTCAGTTTAGAAAATTTGGAACTGGAAAAACTAGGAAAGATTGCTTTTGCCATCTAAGATTAAAGACAAATATGAAGACTCCATTAGCTATTCATCCTAATATTTTAGATTTCTGATGTCTAATATTTTTACTTGTTTGAAATAGATTTTAAGTATGTTTATTTTATGTTTAAATTAGTATGTACATGAGAATTCAGAACACAAATTCTTGTTTTAAGGAAATAATATACCACCTTTTTTATTTTTAAAGATTTTCTTTATTTTTACAGAGAGGGGAAGGAAAGGACAAAGAAAAGGAGAGAAACATCAATGTGTGGTTGCCTCTTCTGCACCCTCTACTGGGGACCTGGCCTGCAACCCAGGCATGTGCCCTGACTGAGCAATGGAACTGGTGACCCTTTGGTTCACAGGCCCATGCTCACTCCACTGAGCTACATCAGCCAGGGCCTAACATACCACCTTTTAAGAGCCCAAAAGCCCAGACACATAAGATTGTAAACTTCTGAAGGCACAGCTATTAGTTTTTACATTACTTTGAGCACAGAAGACAATGAGTAATTAAAAAAATTTTTTAATCCTCATCCAGAGACATTTTTCACTTCTTTCACAAAAAGAGGAGGGAGGGAGGGGGAGAGAGAGAGAGAACATAGCTGCCCTCTCATACACACCGTGACTGGGGATTGACCCCAAAACCTGGGTCTGTGCCCTGATGGGGAACCAAACCTGTAACCTTTCATTCTTCGGGATGATGCTCCAACCAACACAGCCACACTGGCCAGGGCGAGTGATTACTTTTTAATCAATTAATTTATGATGAAATTTATTCAACTATTTTTCTGTTCCTTTTAGTTAACATGATAGAAACAAAAAATATATAAACTAAAATTTTCTTTGAACATGTTTTCTTATAATAATAATTACATTTCTGATGTGAAAACTAAGCAGCTGTTAAAGATTATTGTTACTTAGCATTTTAAAATTCAGATTCAATAGAATATATTAAAGGGTAATTCCTCATTTTTACAAAAGGATGCCTTTCAAAGATTATTTGTAATTTAATAATTCATTAGATTTCTTCTAGTAATAAATGCTTTGTACATTCAACATTTGATTAAGTTTGCATTCATTCAGGAATAAACTAGTTATAGAAAGTGAATAGCATGTGTATATCAAAAACATTAAACTCAAAAGGTAAGCCTTTTGTAGAGAAAAGGAGTAAAGGTGTGTATATACTTAATTTAACAAATCCACTTTAATAGTAGATATGTTTATTTTATAGGTTCGAAAAACTTGCTACCTTGTCTGGAGTCTCATGGTAAGTTTGCTGGAGATCGAAATCAGACCCAAAGATTTCTGAATCCCAAGTTTAATGTTTTAATATTTGATATTAAAGTGACTCATAAAATTGATTGATATTGTATGTTGGTGCTTAGGTGACTCTGCAACTTGATGGATGACAATAAATCTTTTCAACCAAAAAGTAAGTATTGCTGCCGAAAATGATGCTAGTATGCATGACTTTTGCACTTATAACCTTGCTTCATGAGAAAAGGTGAGAAAAGTAGAGGTGAGCACATTTAACAAGCAAAATAGAGACACACTTATAGATAGAAAACAGGTTGATGGCTATGGGGGGGTTAGAGGGTGGAGGGATTGAGCAAAAGTGAAAAAAGACTCATAGACGTGGACAACAGTGTGGTGATTGCTGGGGGAAAGGTATAAGGGGCATAAATGGTAATGAAAAAAATACAATAAAAATGTCCATGCTAAAATAAGTAAATAACACTTATTAAACTAATATATGTTCATGGTGAAAAAGAACAATATACAATAAAAATGTTAGTAAACTAGAAATGAAGTATTCCTTCATCTCCAGAGATAACAATGCTTTTTATACATAATCACAAACTTTTTTATGTGTTGACAAAAACTAAATTATTTCTAAATAGTCATACTATATATGGTATTATGTGTCTTTAAATAATTTTTACTCAACAATCTACCTTGAAATATATTGACATTGGCAGCACCTAGTTAAAAAAATGAGGAAGACCTATGAACATAGATGTAAGTAATTTTTATTATCAGTATGTATGGGTCTCCCTCATTTTTAAAAGATAATATTGCCTGACTTTGCCTAGTTTCTTAGCTTGTAAATTGTTGTATGTTAAGGGCCTACTGCATCTCCAGTAGACTACTGTGTGTAAGAGAAAATACAAAGGAGGAAAAAATATACTCTTCACTCTCAAGGAGTTAGACACAACTCAAACACATTCATAGTGACCATTTTGAGATTATATACAGTAAATCTTGAATTACATGGAATAGACTGCCAATGTTGTAAGAGGGGGAAGAAAAACAAGGTCTAATAATGGTTTACTGAGGAAGTTAAAATTGAACTAAGTTGGGAAGAGGCAGGCAATTGATATTTTGTTGAATATCTGTATGAAGTTAGGTACTTTACATGAATTTTCTTGAATTTACCTTATCACTTCAATTAGGTTGATAGTAAACCAATATTAGAAATGAAGAAACAGATCCAAGCAATTTCACCAGAGTTATATGATTAGAAGTAGTGCGGTGAAGATTTGAACTATTCAAATTAATGTCAAGTTCATGCTGTTTCTATTATACTTAAATTATGTAGACAGTCTACAGTAAGAAGGAAGGATATTTTAGATGGAAGAAGCAGTACAAATGAGTACTTCAAGCGACACAATGAGAATGATGTTTTCAAGTATTCAGAATACACAAATGATAAACTGAATTACTTTTTAATTTTACTTAGCGCACTCTGTGTGTATATAATATATATGTGTTATATATATAAAGTGTAGTTTAGAAAAGAAAGGGATTGGTTCATAAAATTAGTTACATTGGGAAGGGTGGGGAAAGTTTTTTGTTTTGTTTTATGGTAGGTGGACTACTAAACATTAAATAACATGCCAAGAAATGATTTTGGCATACCTATAAGAAGGGAAAATGTTATTAAAAGGTTTTTTCCTTTGTTTTATATTTTATTTATCTTTAAAGTATATTTTATTGATTATGCTATTACAGTTTTCCCAATTTATCCCCTTTTGTCCCCCCTCTACCCTGCACCCCCAACCCTCCAGCATTTCCCCCCAAGTTCATGTCCATATAAGTTCTTTGACTTCTATTTTCTATACCATTCTTAACCTCTCCCTGTCTATTTTATGCCTACTAATTATGCTTCTTATTACCTGTACCTTTTCCTCCATTCTTCCCCTCCCCTTCCCCACTGAAAACCCTTTATGTGATGTCCATTTCTCTGATTCTGGTCCTGTTCTGGTTGTTTGCTTAGTTTTTGTTTTCTTTTTTTTAAGGTTCATTTGTTGATAGTTGTGAGTTTGTTGTCATATTACTGTTCATATTTTTTGTCTTCTTTTTCTTAGATGAGTCTCTTTAACATTTCATATAATAAGAGCTTGGTGATGATGATGAACTCCTTTAATTTGACCTTATCTGGGAAGTACTTTATGTGCCCTTCCATTCTAAATGATAGCTTTGCTGGACAGAGTAATCTTGGATGGAGGTCCTTGTCTTTCATGACTTCCAATACTTCTTTCCAGCCCCTTCTTGCCTTAAGGTTTCTTTTGAGAAATTAGCTGATAGTCTTATGAAAACTCTTTTGTAGGTAACTCTCTCTTTTTCTCTTGCTGCTTTTAAGATTCTTTCTTTATCTTTAATCTTGGGTAAGTTAATGATGATGTGCCTTGGTGTGTTCCTCTAGGTCTAACTTCTTTGGAACTCTCTGGGCTTCCTGGATTTCCTGGAAGTCTATTTGTTTTGCCCGATTGGGCAAGTTTTCCTTCATTATTTGTTCAAATAAGTTTTCAGTTTCTTGATCTTGTTCTTCTTCTGACACCCCTATAATTCAGATATTGGAACGTTTAAAGTTGTCCCAGAGGTTCCTAATCCTCCTTTTAATTGTTTGAATTCTTGTTTCTTCATGTTTCTTCTTGTTTCTTGTGTTCCAGTTGGATGTTTATTTCTTCCTTTTGTTCCATATCGTTGATTTGAATCCTGGTTTCCTTCCCATCACTGTTGGTTCCCTGAATATTTTGCTTTATTTCATTTTGGGTATCTTTCATTTGTTCTTTTGTTTTTCGACCAAGCTCAGTTAGTTCTGTGAGCATTTTGATTACCAGGGCTTTAAATTCTCCATCAGATAGGTTGGCTATCTCCTCATTACTTAGATCTCTTTCTGAAGGTTTGTTGTGTTCTTTCATTTGGGCCATATTTCTTTGTCTCAGGGCACCTGTTAAGTTGTAAGGGAGTGAGACCTTAGGCATTCACCAGGGTAGGGTGACCCTCCTTGCTGGCTGTGGCACTGCCTGTGGGGGAGGGGCCAGAGAGGGAACAATGCAGCTTGCTTTCTCGGTTCTAGCTCCTCTTTCCAATGAACTCTCTTGTGTGAGACTGGGAGTTTGCCACCACAGCAACCACCATCATACTCCACAGTCACCTCTGAGTCTCAGTTTCCCATTCAGTCAACCCTGTCTACACAGTCCGTCGCCTCGCCACAATTTCTCTCTGTCTGCCTCTTAGTAGTCTGGTTGTTCTGTTTATTTCTTCAATTCCTTGGTTGTTGGAGTTCCATGCAGTGTGATTTTCTGGCACTTCTAGTTGTTTCTTGATTTTAGAGTGGTTGTCATCCTCCTTTTGTTTGTGTTTGGAAGCGAAGGGTTTCTACTTAATCCTCCATTTTAGCTGGAACTTAAAAATTTTTTAAGTAGCATGCATTTATTAAGGTATTTCTTTTGTATACAATCCCCAAATTATTTTATTTACCTAGTACCTTTTAATTTTGAGTTAAAAGTAGAAATGACATTGTTTTAATCTGGTGAAATTACCTTTAGAAACTATCGCATTTATAAGATAAATTAAAGATATCGTCTAAAAACAAGATATTTTTGTCTAAGCCTAAACCCTGTAATTATTGTTTTGTTTTTATTTTTATTGTTTAGTTGTTCCCTGTCCACATCTCATTCCATGTATTGAGCACCATTTTAAAAAAATATTTTATTTATTTATTTTTAGAGAGAGGGGAAGGGAAGGAGAAAGAGTGGGAGAGAACCATCAATGTGTGGTTGCCTCTCATGTGTCTCCTTTTTGGGACCTGGCCTGCAACCCAGGCATGTGCTCTGACTGGGAATCGAACCGGCAACCCTTTGCTTCACAGGCCCATGCTCAATCCACTGAGCTACACCAGCCAGGGCCTACTCCTGTGTTTTTTTGAAGGCATCCACTATTACTGGTTTAGCTGTTTTTCTAATAATCATTTCCATGTTTATAAAAATTTAATACACACATATGTATAACACACCCTCTTGAATTTGTAAGTTTTCATCATTATGTAATGATTTTCTTGTAAAGCAATATGAAGATTTTAGATTTCTTTTTTTAAAAAATATTTGTTTATTTATTTATTTTTAGAGAGGGAAAAGGAGAAAGAGTGGGAGAGAAACATCAATGTGTGGTTGACTCTCATGTGCCCCAGGTGCTCCACTGGGGACCTGTCCTGCAACCCAGACATGTGCCCTGACTGGGAATTGAACCAGCGACCCTTTGCTTCACAGGCTAATGCTCAATCTACTGAGCCACACCAGCCAGGAGATTTTAGATTTCTTACACTTATGTCTCCCTCCAAGCATCACCCAATGTAGTTGTATTTGAATTTTTTGTTAAATTATATTTGTTATCATTATGACGACCATAATAAACATTGTTCCCTGATGAGCATAGTACTATGGTATTGGTATGTTAAGAATATATTTAGCCCTGGCTGGTGTGGCTCAGTGGATTGAGCGCAGGCCTGCGAACCACACGATCGCGGTTCGATTCCCAGTCAGGGCACATGCCTGGGTTGCAGGCCGGTTCCCTGCAGGCCAGTTCCCAGCAGGGGACGCACAAAAGGCAACCATACATTGATGTTTCTCTCCCTCTCTCCTTCCCCCCCTTCCCCTCTAAAGATGAATAATAAAATATTTTTTCAAAAAATAATATATTTACATTTTTCTCTTTTTAAAAATATACCCAGAATTTAAATTTTTCATTTTTTAAAATTTGCTAAATTTAGTTAAGGTCTATAGCCAAGTCATTTCACACCCTTCTGTAACCTCTTAACTCAATTTTCTACACGGTAAAACTTGTAAGGTAATTTAACAATTTTTATATATATATATAACAATATATATATATATATAGTGTGTGTGTGTGTGTGTGTGTTCTGCTGGAGACATTCCTCCTGAGAGTAATGTTCTCCTGCTGTACATTGCGTGGCTGTTTTCTAGACCTGTTGAATGGCTATTGTCCCGGGACTTTCCTTTGTCTTTGTATTACATTAAATGGCGTGTTTTTTGCATCCTGGGTCTTCTTAAGTCTCACATTGGTGGATTCCTTCTAAGAAAGAAAGGGTGAATGGAAGGTAAATTTTGTCTGATGTTTCTGGTCTTCATTATTGATAAAAGAATATGTACCTATGCCTAACAAAAATCTTGGCTGGGTATAGAATTTTAAATTGAAATCAATTTTTAGTAAAACTTTTGAAAGCAGTATTTTAACTTTCTTCTCTGTCTACACTCTCACTGTCAGATGTAACACTATTCCCTTATCTCCAGCATTCTGAAATTTCACAATATGTCTCTCTACTGTATGTTTTCTTTTCTTAATTATTGTGCTAGGTGCTGGTGAGCCCTTTCTATCTGGAGATTTATATCCTTTACAACTGGAATTTTTTTCTTGTATTTTTTTATGTTGCGTACATCCCCTTTTATCCTTTGTTCTTTTTCTGGAACTTTTATAGGTGAGTTGTAACTTAGAAATTGATTTTCTAACAATCTTGTATATTCTCTCTCTCCCTCTCTCTCTCTCTCTCTACATATATATATATATATATTCCCCCCCCAAATAGATTTATAGTTGTCAGTATGCAAAACAGAGTTTATTCTTTTTTTTTTATCCTCACCCGAGGATTTTAAAGAGAGAGGAAGGAAGAGAGAGAGACATCGATGTGAGAAAGAAACATCAGTCGACTGCCTCCGGTATGTGCCCCAACTAGTGATCAAAACTGAAACCTAGGTATGTGCCCTGACGGGGAATCAAACCCTCAACCTTTTGATGTACAGGATGATGCCCCAACCAACTGCAAGGCCAGAGTTTATTCTTGTATTATTATTTATTATTATATTATTTTTCATTAAACAACTGTAAGGTAGTTCACTTTTGTTCACTCCTACATATATATTTTAGTTCTACTTTTGGGACATTTATTCAACTTTGGCGTTTGATATTTTACTGAATTTCAGCCATAGTATTATAAACTTTTTGTTTTCTGAATGTTATTTTTATAACATTCTTGTCTTCTCTAAAATCACTAATTATACTCTGATATTTTTCCTACCCTATATATTATCTGTCTTCTTTACCGTCTTTCTGTTTTATTGCTTTTGTATTTCACATTGGAGGTTTTAGTCATATTTCTGATTCTCAGTAGTTGTGCATCCATATTTACAAATAGGGCACCAAGCTCTGGAGTGGGAAGTTGAAGGGGTAGAGGGAGTGAGCAAAAAGGAAAAAGGAGAATGGACATGGACATGGACAACAGTGTGGTGATTTCAGGAAGAGGGGGGTGAGTGAAGGTGGAAGAGAGTGGAGGGGAGATAAATAGTAATGGGGGAAATATAATATAATTAAAAATCAAAATTAAAAAAATATTTAAGTTTTTTAAAAAGATTGAGACACCAAAATGATCACAAGGAGCTCTGTGTGCTTGGTCAGCACTTTTAGCTTGGTAGTTTTCACAGTATGTTTTTTGCTTAGTTTCTTCATGTGAGAAATGTTTCCATCTGTCTTGAGAAGGAATAAGCCTCACTCAATATTCCTTATTTTCATTCTAGTACCTCATTCCTTCTTTGCTCTATGCCTGGTACATCTCAATCTTGTTCAGTTTTTCTATTATATCTCCCACCTGTTGCTTCTTATTCCTAGTTTATCTCCTTTTTGTTAATGCCAAAGTCTGTGGACTTTTTTCAGATAATTGGTACAGTCCCTTTCATAGATATAATTATACTCTAGTCATAAAACTAAAACTCAATTTGATTGGATTTTATTATTCCTAAAACTTACTGGCCACTGCAAATAACTATTGACATCCATTATTTAGCTACTAGCTTAATTTTACTAGTTTAGATACTAGAGATTAAATTTGAAGTTTCTTAATTTTGCTACCATTTACTGAGAAATATCAATTCAGTAACTGCTATTAGCATTATTAAAATACATGTTAAATATCATATTATATATTGTAGAAAAAAGTATTTAAAAATAAGATTTGCTTTTCTCCTTTTGAAAATTAGATAATTCAAAAATGGCAGAACTCTTTATGGAATGTGAAGAAGAAGAACTGGAACCATGGCAGAGGAAAATAGAAGAAAATCAGGATGAGGATGATGATGAGCTAATCTTTGTTGGAGAGATATCAAGTTCAAAACCAGCCATTTCAAGTAAGCATTTACTTTCTTTTTTCTACTTTCTTTTTTATTGTTGTTTCTATTAGAGTCATTCCAATTTTTCCCCCTTTTGCCCACCTCTACCCAGCCCACCCCTCTTAGCCACGGTCAGTCCCCTTCAAGTAATCATTTACTTTTGATGAAATTTCATAAGATGTTTCCGGTGGAAAAACCTATATCCTGTCTTATATGTGCTTGTTAACTCGTGAGAAGGAGCATAGGGGTCAGTAAGAATTTGAGAGAATCAGAGGGAGAATGTGGTTGGGACTTGTACTTAATAATAACCTTGCAGGCCTTCTGAGATCGGAAATCATAATTTTTAGTGGAACCAAGTAGCCTATTTATACCTGTTTATTTGTTAATTTTTATTTTTCTCCCTAAAGTCCAAATGCACCTAGATAAGGAAGTATTTGGAATACTTTGCTTAAAATACTAGGATACTAAATAAGTTTGTGTTAGTCTCTGAGGGGGTTCTCACATCACAGTGTCATTTTGATTCAAGGCTACAAAATTAACAGGCACTGCATGATTATACAGTCTCTGGCCTGTGTACCAACATGCCATCTTGCAGAAACTCCTGATTATATTTGTGAAGGAGGAGAACCTGGTCATCATTAGTCCATGTACTTCATTCAATGATGAAGGCAGTCAGCACATTTAATCCTCGTGGCTTTCTAGCAGAACATGACCAGTATCTTCGTAAATTATCAGATTTCAATTACAATAAATAGATTTAACATCATAATAATTTTAAAGTGAAAATATTGATGATGCTGCCCTAAATGTCCAATAAAATGTGTAAAGTACAGAGGAACAACATACTAAACATCAGGGGACAAAGAGGAAACCGATGTTTTCTTACTTACCATGGCAGTGCATAGTAGTGTGCTTGAGAGACAAGTTTTTAATTTTATGAAAGTCTAGTTCTTGCTTCTCTTGACTCTAAACTAGGAATAGCACTTCTCTTCATTTTCATCAGAGTTAGAATAATTTATTTAAATTTAATTCTCAAAATCATTTCTTGTGGGAAATTTGAGAGGTGCTAAGTTTAGTGCCACTTCAATTATAAAATGAACTAGGCATGTTAGCATGTTTGTTGTTGATAGTGGAACAGAATATTATATTCTCTTAATTATTGTTTCCTGGTCACTATGATTATTTTTATATGGAAATACTACCATATTTCAAATTATTACTCAGATTATCTTACTGAAAACATGATAGTTCAAATTAGATTTATATTAACTATAAATGACTGTTAACAGTACTTAACTATAATAAACTGTGTTAGTTTTAAGTGATTCTATCAGAAAGTTGATCCCAGTGAAATTTCTTTTCCAGTTTAGCTCAGAATTTAAATGATTTTATTGATGTTTTATGTGTCAGCCATAAAATATTTTTAGCATATGGATCATGAGCTAAATATTTATATAGATCTACCATGGAGGAGGGGTTAAAAACTTTTCTTTGATAAACTGCTGCCACCAAAAAGTACTATAAGGAATAACTCTTTAATAGCTCTTTAAATACCTTGAATTTCTGAAAGCAAACAATACCAAGTTGTTTTTGCAGATTTTTCTCCTAGGTGACTTCCATAGTGCTTAGTCATAGAGCACTGCATTTCCAACCCCATGTGGCCCTTTACTTTACAAATTATTTTATGAAGATCTGGTTCTTTTTACTAGGAGGAAAAAAAGGAAATTTGTTGAGGTCTTATGGGATTTTTTAATTTAATCTTTATTACATATTATCCATTACCGTTTAGTCCTCTTATATACTCTCCAGTGTGATTACCACACTGTTGTCCATGTCCATGAGTCTTTTTTCCTTTTCTCAATCCCTCCATGCCCTAACCTCCCCCTGCCACTAGATGTCATCCTGTTCTCCATCTATGAGTCTGTCCCTGTTTTCCTTGTTTGTGCAGTTCATTAGATTCCACATATGAGCGAAATCATATGATATTTCTCTTTCTCTGACTGGCTTATTTCCCCTAGCATAATGTTCTCCAGGTTCATCCATACTGTTGCAAAGGGTAAAAGTTTCTTCTTTTGTATGGCCAAATAGAATTCCATTGTGAAAATGTACCATAGTTGTTTTATCCATTCATCTCTTAATGGACGGACACTGGTACCGCTTCCGTTTCTTAGCAATTGTAAATAACACTGCAGTAAACATAAGGGTCCTTACATTCTTTGGAATTTGTGTTTTGAATTCCTTTGGATATATTCCCAGAAGTGGGATTGCTGAATCAAAAGGCAAATCCATTTTTAGTTTTTTGAGGTATTTCCATACTGCTTTCCACTGTGACTGCACCAGTCTTCATTCTATGGGATATTTTTTTATATATATATTTTACATTCAATATTATTTTGTATTAGTTTCAGGTGGACAGCATTGTGGTTAGACAATCATATATTGAATACTTTACAAGGTGATCCCACAATATTTCCAGTACCCACCTGGCACCATACATAGTTATTACAATATTATTGACTCTATTCCCTGTGTTGAACTTTACAACATCTCCATGGCTATTTTGTAATTACCAATCTGTACTTCTGAATCCCTTCACCTTTTTCTCCCAGTCCTCTAAACCCCCTCCCATCTGACAATCACCAGTCTGCTCTCTATGTCTAGGAGTATGTTTCAAATATGTTTGTTTATTTTGTTCATTAGATTCCACATATAAGTGAAATTATATGGTATTTGTCTTTTTCTGACTGGCTTATTTCACTGAGCGTAATGCCCTCTAGGTCCATCCATGCTGTCACAAATTATAAGATTTCATTCTTTTTTTATGGCTGAGTAACATTCCATTCTATATTATGTACTACCCCTTTTTAAAAAAGATTGCATTTATTTATTTATTTTTAGAGAGAGGGGAGGAGAGGGATAAAGAGAGGGAGAAAAACATCATTGTGTGGTTGCCTCTTGCGTGCCCCATACTAGGGACCTGGCCTGCAACCCAGGCATGTGCCCTGACTGGGAATCAAACACTGGTGACTCTTTGGTTCACAGGCCAGCACTCAATCCACTGAGCCACACCAGCCAGGGCTGTACCGCCACTTTTTATCTGTTGGTCTATTGATAGATACTTGGGATACTTCTATATCTTGACTATTGTAAATAGTTTAGCAATAAACATAAGAGTGTACATATTTTTAATGAGTATTTTGGGTTTCTTCAGATATATACCTAGAAATAGAATCACTGGGTCATGAGGCAGTTTCATTTTTAATTTTTGGAGGAACCTCCTCACTGTTACATAGTACTTGCACCCATATGCATTCCCACCAACAGTGCACAAGGGTTCCCTTTTGTTCACATCCTCACCAGTACTAGTTATTTGTTGATTTATAGATAGTAACCATTCTCACAGGTGTGAGGTGATATCTCATTGTGGTTTTAATTTGCATTTCTTTGATGATTGGTGACAATGAGCATCTTTTCATATATCTATTGGTCATCTATATGTTCTCTTTAGATAAGTGTTTATTTAGGTCATTTGCCCACTTTTCAATTGGATTGTTTTCTTGGTGTTGAGTTATATGAGTTCTTTATAAATTTTAGATATTAACCTCTTATCAGTTGTCTCATTGGCAAATATCTTCTCCCATTTAGTAGGTTGTCTTTTCATTTTATTGATAGTTTCCTTTGCTGTGCAAAAACTTTTTATTTTGAGGGATTTTGTTAATGCTGTGTACCTTTTACTGATTAGCGATCTTAGGCAAATTTCTACTCTTCCAGATTTTCATTTGACTCCTCAATAACCTAGAAGTTATGGGTTCACATGGGTACAAGAGTGAGCAAAGTTAAACTGATCTAGATGGTCATGTCAGTCTCAGATTTACTTTTGGTGTAGTCATAGATTTGAGATACTCTCATATACTCTGGGTTCAATTTAGTCTGGAGTCTCTGACATTGTTCCTTTTAGAATTTATGAGTAATGGTACAGATAATCCAATCAGCTTACTCATAATGAATCTGCTAGGCTTTTAGAGGTATATGTGACATGGGGATTAGGGAAGGGCATGAGTCACAGGAACACAGGTCTATATACAAACTTGTTCTATTATCTTTTATATATTACACATTCAAATAAATTTTAAAATAAATATATTTTTATTTTTCAACTACAGTTTACATTCAATATCATTTTGTATTGGTTTCAGCTGTATAGCATAGTGGTTAGACAATCGTACTTTACAAAGTGTCATTCCCCCCCCCAATATTTCCAGTAACCACCTGACACCATACGTAGTTATTACAATATTATCACTACATTCCCTATGCTGTACTTTACATCCCTATGACTATTTTGTAATTGTCCATCTGTACTTCTCAGTCCCTTCACCTCTTTCACCCAGTCCCCCAACTCAGCTCCTTTCTGGCAACCACAGGTCGGCTCTCTGTGTCTATTAGAGCATTTCAGTTTCGTTCGTTCATTTTAAATAAATGTAATTTTTATAGATATTTTGAACAGAGGTAACTCCAGCTCATCTTCAAAGGGAATAAAGAATGAACTACTCAGTCCAGGTATAGTATTGTTGTACTATATTAACTTTAAAGTCTAATATTTTGACAAAATTAGTTGTATAGAAAAATATTGAATTTATTGTATAATTTTCAAATGCAGGTGTTACTGATGCATTCAAGCCTACAAGTCAACATTATGGAGACCCATCATCAAGTCCAGTGGCTGCCTTACCTAGATTTAATCCTGGATCTAAATCTTCACCTAGCTCTGTTATTCAGAATGTGTCTAAATCGGTAAGTGTTTCTGAAACCTCAATTTACCTCAGGGACATGTTGAACATTATAATACCCGGTTAGAGTTGTGGACTATCAGAGCTAGTCACTATTTCTGTAGAACCATAATCACTATAAGAAAATATCACCATCTTTATGATAGCTCAATATCAAAGTAATAACTATATGGGCTAACTATCCAACCTGTTAATAAATCATTATATTTAGCTGAATTATAAATAGGTATAATATTGAAAACTATGCTATCTAAATAGTATAATCAGTAGTGAATATTGCATAATGACAACATTCTTAAGATAGTAAATTGAACCAGCTACTCTTAATTGAAAGATTGTTCTAATGTCATTGTTGCTCTTTATTCAAAAACATAGTTTTCAGAAGTTTAATTTTCAATATGTTTAACAGAAGTGATAGATAATGGTAATATTTAATATTATATGTTAGTCTGCTAATATGGAGCTTTGTTCTAAATGCTACAAATAAGTTAATCTCATTTAATTCTTACCACTTTTTTATGAGGTAGGCACAATAATCATCACCATTTTGTAGTTGAGGAAACTGAGACTCAGAAAGGCTATATAATTCATTCAAGGCCACGCAACTGGTAAATGATGGATTTACAATTTCAATCCAGGTTAACTAAGATTTTTTTCTATTTTATTTATTTATTTTTAGAGAAAGGGGAAGAGAAGGAGAAAGACAGAGAGAGAAACAGCGTGTGGTTGCCTCTCATACACCCCCAACTGGGGCCTGGCCTACAATCCAGGTATATGCCCTGACTGGGAATTGAACCAGCAACTCTTTGGTTCACAGTCCAGCACTCAATCCACTGAGCCACACGAGGCAGGGTGAACTGAGAGTTTTTAAAATATGCACATACACACATTTATCTCTTTTCGTATATATATTTTTAAATAGAAGCATTGCCTTAGGGCAGGGGTATCAAACTCATTTTCACTGGGGGCCACATCAGCCTTGAGGTTGCCTTCAAAGGGCCAAATGTAATGTTAGGACTGTATAAATGTAACTACTCCTTAACAGTTAAGCGAGAGCTCTGTGTTGCCCCTGGGTAGAAACAAGGTACTGGGCTGGATTTGGCCTACGGGCCTTGTGTTTGCCACTTGTGCGTTAGGGCAACAGTGTGGCCACAGACCATTGGGGTTCTCTGAGACTCTTTTAGGGTTCTGTGAAGTTGAAACTAGTCATAGTAAGACATTTTCCTATTTCAGTTGTCAACATTTGCACTGATGATGCAAAAGTAATGGAGGGTAAAACTTCTTGTACCTTAATATGAATCAAGGCAAAGGACCCAAACTATACTAGTAGTTTTTTGTATTGGTGACTGCTGAGCCCCCACAGTAGAAAAATTTTATTTAAGAATATATTTCCGAGGGAAGGGAATTTAAGGGGAAAAGGGGGGAGGGATTTTGAGGAACAAGTATGAAAGACACAGGGATGAGGACTGGGGGGGGGAATGGGAGGGAGGGGGGAGACGGGACACGGGGGGTGGGATAGGAGAAATAGATAAAAAAAAATGTACTTGAAAAGACCTAAATAAAATTTATTTAAGAAAAAAAAAGAATATATTTCATGCCCTGGCTGGTGTGGCTCAGTGGATTGAGTGCCAGCCTGTGAACCAAAGGGTTACCATTTCAATTCCCAGTCAGGACATATGCCTGGGTTGTGGGCCAGGTCCCTGGTTGGGTGCATAGGAGGGGTAACCACACATTGATATTTCTCTCCCTCTCTTTCTCCCTTCCTTCCTTTATGTCTAAAAATGAATGGATAGGCCCTGGCTGGTGTAGCTCAGTGGATTGAGTGCAGGCCTGCAAACCAGAAGATTGCGGTTCAATTCCCAAACAGGGCACATGCCTGGGTTGCAGGCCAGTTCCTAGCAGGGGACACACGAGAGGCAACCATACATAGATATTTCTCCCCCTCTCTCTTTCCCTTCCCCTCTAAAGATAAATAAATAAAATCTTTAAAAAAATAAATAAAAATGAATGGATAGAATCTTTAAAAAAAGAATATATTTCATTTAAGAATATCCTTGAAGAAATAATATTTTTTACTGATTTTATTAACTTGACTTTTGAATATACTTCTTTTTAAATATTCTGTGTAATGAAATGGATGAGGTGCATAAAGCATTTCTGTATATGTGGTAAAGGGTTTTCTTAAGCACTTGTGTGATTCAATTGCAAGCTGACCTCACTGTCCTTTTTAATGGAATGTCATTTTTACTTGAAAGAATGACAAACAAAGCACCATATATTAATTTATTTATTGCTGAATAACAATAATACCACAAACTTCGAAGCTTAAAGCAATATTGCTTATTATCTCATGATTCCTATGAGTCAGGATTAGGATATGGCTTAACTGGCTTTTCTCCTTCAAGGTCTTGTGAGGCTGCAATCAAGATGTTTGCCAGAGTTGCAGTAACATTTAAGACTGCTTAGACTGCTTCCAAACTCACTTGGTTGTTGGTGGTATCCAGTTCTTTGTGGCTTGTCAGACTAAAAGCATCAGTGTCTTGCTGATGTCAGCCACAAATTGCCCTCAGTTCCTTTCTATATAGGCTTTCCTGACATGACTAGTTGCTTCCTCAAAACCAGCAAGGAAAAGAGTCCTCGGCAAGATGGGCTTTTTAACAATCATGCACATGTCATCACTTTTGCCATATCCTGTGGTTTAGAAGCAGTCACAGGTCCCACATGTACTCTAGGGAAGATTATATAAGGGTGTAAATATCAAGAGGGAGTCTGTCTGAAACATATGAAACACACAGTGTTTCAATCCTCAGAAATGTAGAAAGTGTGTCCATCACAGAAAAGCACTAATAGTGTTCTTGCCCATGATAAAATTTGAGCTTTGAAGCAAAAAAATAGAAATTTGGTAAACTTGTATTTGCAGCCTGAAACACTTATCAGTAATAATATGAGCTCTGGACTAGTAGTTCAAGAAACCAGGGTTGAAAATGAGAGAAGACAGGAGTACTAATTCAGCCTTCGATCCTAACTAAAATATTGTCACAACTCCCCTGGGCCTCCCTTTCTGAAATCAAAACCTTTACTCAGACTACTGGCTCTAAAATTTAGAGCCTCTAAGCATCCATGGACTGTTTCTAATACTTAAAAAAAACTGAGCCCTGGCTAGTGTGGCTCAGTGGATTGAGTGCCCGCCTGCTGCTAACCAAAAGGTCACCCGTTCAATTCCTAGTCAGGGCACATGCCTGGGTTGCGGGCCTGGTCCCTGGTTGGAGGCCTGTGAGAGGCAACCAGTCGATGTCTCTCTCACACATCAATGTTTCTCTCCCTCTCTGTATCCATCTCTTCTGCTCTTTCTAAAAATAAATTAATTAAAAGAAAAACTTAATAGATGTATCTGAAGATGGCAGGCTACCAGAAATGCAAATTATTTGATTTTAGTTGGAATCAGATTAACTTAGTGGTGTTTTTACACTTTCCTAAGCTGTTTGACACTAGGGGAAAAAAACAAAAGGGATACATCATGATTTAAATGCACATAAATGAAAATAATCCCTACATTGGACCCAGGGAGAAAGATTAACAGAGAGTAGAGGGGTAGAATCTTTCATGTTAGAAAAGTTAGAAACTAGAGCTTATTCAAACTCAGAATTTTTGTTTCTGTGAGCATGGTTATTTAATCAAACCTCCCCAATCAGGTTCCCAGTCCTGCTTTTAGAAAATAGAGCTTTTTAAAATAGAAGTTTTTGTCAGTTCCTGTTGGGTAAGGTGATGCCTGGGCAAGATAGATTTTTAAAAAACTCTCTAGGTAACTTTAATGTACAGCCAGGGTTGAAAAGAACCCATATATATTCTCAAATAAATTGAGATTCTTATGATTTTCTCTGAAATTTTTTAACTTTTTCATTCTCTGCCTCAATAACTCTTTTGAGCAATCAGGGAGATAATTACTATTATTCTTTTTAAAGTCAGTATGATTTGGCTTAAGGGCACAGGTTTTGTAATCAGGTCAACCTAGGTTCTAATTCCAACTTTATCATCAATAGCAAGCTGCGATGCATTGGGAACCTTACTTAACCATATTTAAGTTACCTATTTATAATATTAGGTACCTTACCATTGTATTTTGTATCTTTCTGAAGTATTTTATAAGATTTAAAAAATTCCCACTTGGAGAATTATTTTAGCATGTTATTTGTTGAATAATGTATCTGCTCCCTGAAATGGTGGTACTTAACTGACGAGAGTTATGACCTAGGAAAGGGTTTAAAGTATTAACATTATTTGGAGGAACTTCTGTTGAAAAACTATATTGGGCATCTGGAGAAATATCTACCTTGCAGTAACATTATGGTTGGTTACAATTCAATCATAAAGACATTATTGACTTTATATAATATACATTAAATCTCAAATGCAGAAATCTGCCTGCAATGCCTCAATTCTAGGAATGGAATGGTTTGGGTCAGTCAACAGAAAACTTAGGAGCAAAGTAAGATTATTAAAACCTGATTGTCTCTCAACTTTTAAGCACAAAACTCTCAATAGAGATTCTTATATTCCCATTATAAAGGCAATATTTGGGGGAGGTAAGAAACAGAAGAGGATGCAGACTGTATTTTGATTTTTTTTCTCCAAATAGTGTAGTATATAGAATATATCATTAATCAGGATTGTATTTTATATGCAGATTACTATTCTTTTTTTCACTGAAATTTATATTGGAAACATTTTTTTTGCCACTGGGTATTTCTCAAAAACATGATGTTGCATGATAGTCTGTGATTTAATCTGTTTAACCATTTATTTCTCCATTGTTGGACATAGAGATTTTCATTTTTTGCTATAACAAATAATTCTTCATTAAATATTTTCATTTCCATAGCATGAATTCTTAGAAGCAGAATATTTGAAACAGTTGGATCAAAAGAGAGCAGCAACTTTTTAAATCCCTTGTTAGATACTGCCAAAATTTCTTGCAGAAAAATTTTACCAAAATATAACTTCTACTTTGCCAATAATATAATTGTTTCTACTTTGCCAATAATATAATTGTTTTAATTTTAACTTTTATTTCAAACCAATTTTATATTTCCAGAAAAATTATAACCCAGAGAGTTCCCATATACTCCTTACCTAGTAAATGCTAATTTTGACAAAGTTGTAATTACCTTTGTGTTTTATTAGTTACTACTAATTGAATCATTAAGATTATTTTTATAGTGGTATTATACAGTTAAAATCACCTTTATAAAAGTTTGTGAAACAAAATAATTATAAATTTTTACAGGATTTTACAAAGAATTCATCACAAGTCGAATCGGATGATTCTTCGGATTTACTATTTGACCTGACCCAGGACACAGTGCCACTGTCTCAAGACAGATCAGCAATTTATATAGAAGGTTTGGTTTAGCACTTTTTATAAATATAAAAAGAGAACTGTTGAATATATGTATGGAATGAATTTCTATTCTGAAGCCAATACCTTCAATGTTAAATTTTTCATATATTGTAAGATGGAAGCTAATAGTTTATGATTGCCTTTCTTGGGTGATTTTATTAACATTGTATTTAATAATATAATATTTTATTTCTTTCTATTAAGTTGACTAACATGTATTCTTTGACCTCATTCTCACTTGGAATCAGCCATATGCTGAAAAAAACTTAATTTCTGTGAGTCAGGGGAGTCCCTTGATGCCCTAATATTATAGATTAAGTATTACTTATTTGGGAGGTCTTTAGTATGAGAAAAATTGCATGGTTATAGTTGATTTCTTCACAAGCTAAGTTAGTGTCTTTCTATCCAAATAAGTGATGTTGCTGTGACAGGTAAATATGATTATAAAGTGGTATTATAAAATGGCAGTAGTAAAAAATCTTTGATTTGCACATAATAAATAGTCAGTAAATATCCATTGAAGGAGTAATAAAAATTTCCAGTTGAAGAAGAGCTATCATTCTTGGTATACTTTGCAAGTTCTTTATTGTTGTTCTAAATATTCCTTAAAGGAATTTTGTCTTATTGAAAATTCCCCAGAATCAGAGCAATTACTATTTCTATATTAGCAAATTTGATATATTTCACTAAAATGGAGCTGGGTTCAAAGGAATTTTTTTTGCATGTTTAACTTGTTTACTTAACAAATTCCTGTGCATTTGCCAAACCAAAATAGTAAAAAATTTATGGTAATATGTATACAAAAAATATTTTCCCATTCTGATAATACTTGGTTTGATAGTCACCTATCTAGGTACACGGATGTAGTGAGTAAAATAGCCAAGAACCAAAATAAATGAGGAAGAAAAGTACTTGTCTGAAATCTGATTTTATAAAGCACATGGTCTTGCCCTGGCTGGTGTGGCTCAGTGCATTGAGCACAGGCTGTGAACCAAAGGGTCACCAGTTAGATTCCCAGTCAGGGCACATGCGTGGGTTGCAGGCCCAGTCCTCAGTTGGGGGTGTATGAGAGGCAACCACACATTGATATTTGTCTCTCCCTCTCTCTCCTTCTCTTCCTCTCTCTCTAAAAATAAATAAATAAAATCTTTTTTTAAAAAACACATGGTCTTTACTTTTTTTTTTAATCCTCACCCAAGAAACATCGATATGAGAATCACTGATTGGTTGCCCTCACATACATGCCTGGACTGGGGATGGTATGCACCTGGACCAGGGACCAAACCCACTACCTAGGCCTATGCCCTGACTGGGAATCAAACCCTGAACCCTTCCGTTACAGGAAGACACTCTAACCAGCTAAGTAAACCACACTGATCAGGGCAGCACATGATCTTTATTCACAGAGAAAGCCTGAATTCATGAAGCTTCTAAGGGGTAAAGATAGTGACTCTCCTACACTCTCTCCATAAGTTGTAGTACTATGAGGAGTGGAACATTGCCCTGATAGTAAATAAGGTTATTTATAGTTGATTAGGAAGATAGAGGTTTCAGCCTCTATTCTAAACATTTTTTTTGGCCTTTATCAAGTCAACTAACATCTTTACACCTATTTTTTTCATATTATTAAAATAGATATTTTAATTTTTCTCACATAGTGCATTCATTCTTCAGACCTGAAATCAGTCATTTGGAGATACAATTTTAATTTCTGCTCTACTTAGAGCTTTTTCGAGGCTCAAATGAGATAAGTGAGAAGCAAGAAATACATTAAAGCCTTAAAGGACTTGACAATAAACAGTTGTTCACGTGATAATTATGGATGCTAATATGTGCTATGTTTTCAGAAGAATGATTAATAGACTTTTGTCTAGGATGATCATAGAAGGTTCTTGGAGAAGATTGGACTTGAACTTGATTTTGGAGAATGAGAATAGGATTTTATTGGCATCATTGAGGATAGTGAACAGCACAAGTCAATAGCAACAGATATAAATAAGTTAAAGAGTCAGAATTTTAAACTGTTAAGCTCAGTGTGATTTTATTTAACTTGGAGATTTACCCATACTTAAAAAATTATATATAAAAGTCTGTTTTTACTATACAGCCTGCTAGATACTCAGTTGCCTAGTCCAAAATAACCAGCACTCATTGGTTGTTCAGGTAACCTAAGCACATGAGAAGAATGTTAGTGTGATCACACAAAAATCAGTCCCAAGGTCTTGCAGTATAATGTATTTGAAGATGGAAAAAATATTTCTATGTTATCTCAAAAACTAAAACACAGATTTGATGTGAAGTTTTAGAATTTTTATCACAAATTACAATTGTGTGTTAATTTCTAAAGGACTTCTGCTGGATCTGGTTGTACCCTAAATAGCCCCACCTCTCTTGCAAATGCCCTGAATTGCATCATCCAGCAGCCTTTAAGGCACAGGTGGCAAACACAAGGCCCTACACCTTGTTTTATCTGGCTGCACCTTGTCTGCCCTCACCTTGTTTCTACCCAGTGGCAGCACCAAGCTCTCGCTTAACTGTTAAGCACTACTTACATTTATACAGTCCTAAAATTACACTCAGCCCTTTGAAGGCAACCTCAAGGTTGATGGCCCCTGGTGAAAATGAGTTTGACATCCCTGCATTAGACTCAGGGAATAAACAGATAATTTAAACTACCAGTCAGGTTGTTTAGTGAAAAAAGAACCAACTTGAGTTTTCCATAAGTATCTTAAAATGTTTCTCCAAATTTTTAGGTTAGAAATTGTTTTTGTTTACAAGGACAAATGCATTTGCACATCTAAAAATAAATTCATTTTTGGAACTGAGTTTAGAATATTCTCTGTGGTTTAATTTTGGAAGCTGTTTTTTGGTCTGATATTTTTTTCTGCTACCTATTTATATATTTCTTTATTCAAAAACATCTTTAGAATTTTTTGCTTACCAGTTTATTTCATGAGTTTAAATATGTATAGTCTGTAATAGCTGTGCAATTTCTACCTATTGATCATATAAATTTTAATTATTCTTTATTGTCATTTGTATGATATGGTAATTCAGTTGTATTACCTTTAATTTAGCTCTGAAGTATTTTTACTGAAGTTTTAAATGTAAGACCATTTTAGTAGCATTTGTAAGTAATGTTCTATACTAAAATATTCACAATTTTTTTTTTACTTTTTAAATTGTAGCTCTGGATGAAACTTTTCCTATAAAAAAACATTCTCTTATAGCAAGCAGACTTAACCCAAAAAAGCCAAAGACCAATGAAGATGTTTCTGAAATAGATTCTTGTGCTTCATTATCTTTAGACAGCTCTCCTTCAGTGACATCCTCCCCAGTTATGACTTCAAAAGGTAAACATGAATATGGCATATAAAAAAGAAATATAAGTGTCAGAAATTATGATAAATCTTAAAGCTATCATTACTGGTTGTTTAAAGTTTAAGATGAAAATTTGAGTCATAAAAATCCTTAATTTATTTCAGATACCTCATCAATTGAACATAAAACTGGAATGCCTTTTCAAAGACCTTGCCCAAAGTGCAATGTTCAGTTCAATCTTTTGGATGCTTTGAAATATCACATGAAGGTAAAATTTTTCAAATTTTTATGTTTAGAAATACAAACATTTTAAAATATTGAAGATTGATATATAATAAATACTAGTTTGGACATTTAAGTAAACCTCCTCATTGGTATTTTCATATAACTTAAGTAAAAATTAATGTTTATAATGATCATCTTCATATAAGATTTTAAATCCTCAAGTATCAAATTTTTTTAATTAAGTTGATATACACTACAGTATAGCATATTACATTTTAATTTTTAATGAAAATAATGTACTAATCACAGTATTTCAATTGCCTAATCTTACACGTGATTTAAAAATTTCCCTTTTGCTTTATTTTTTGTCCATTTTTTCATACATGTGTCACAGTATTTAATGAAATTTTTTTGTCATGCATTTTAATTTTCAACACTCAGATGTAAACTCCTAATGGTGAATCATTTTGTATTATTTAAATGATTGTTTTAACTCAATCCAGAATGTAGTTTGTATAGTTGTTATAAATTCTAGCTTTATATTGGTGTAGGAAGCTCTTAGAATTAGAGTAATTTTCAAAGTATTAATGATGTATGGGGTTTAGGTATCAGTCCTTCTAAAATATTTTAGTAGATGTTACAGTGTTCTGTGTGTCTAATCTGTAAAGCTAATCTGTATTCTTCTTGCATGCCCAGTATAAATGACCGAAGGGGGAAAGGAGGCAAGAACAAAGGCAGTGTAGATTATATGCAGGAGAGAAGGGATAAGAAGAGGACAAGGCAAAGAAGCAAATTAGGAAAGGTTATTACTATTTCAAAGTTTGACAGATTTTTCATTGAAATTCAGAATTTTCGAAAAAAATGTAATAAGCAAAGGGGCATCCCAGAATTCCAAATACAATCTTTTTTTTTCTTATGTAAAACTGTATTTGATTTATTACTCTTTCGACCTCTCTGAGTGACTCCTGCTAACTAGACTTTGGGTTTGGTTTTATGTAAGAAATAACTTCTACAGGTGCTTTCGGTTTTCCGATCTACGTAATACTATACTGTATAGGGATACTTGATGTTTTTAAGTTTTGCATTAGATGGAGAGATGGAGGGAGAGAGAGAAAAAAGGGCTGAGTTTCTTAGTTATTTTTAATTTGTTTAACTTTGGGAGTAATACAGTCACATGATTCAAAAAGTGTAAAAACAGACTTCCGCCAAGATGGAGGCATAGGTGGATATGCTGTGCCTTCTCACAAAACCAAGTTTAGAGACAACTAAATATTAGCAATAGAAAACATAGCCAGAACACGGAAAATTGAACTTTTCGGAAGTCCGTTAACAACAAATTCTTCAGCCTGACCGGTAAGGGACGAAACCAGTGGCTGGTAAAGTGGGATTGCACAGGAGGTCTCGCTCAGCCAGACTCAGGCGCGGAATCCAGTCTCACGATATCCAGGTGCAGGGTTGGACCTAGTGAGCAACTGAGCGAGCCACCAGGCGAGCGACCGCGGGGGAGACAGCGGGGGAGCGGTGCTGAGTGTTGACTGTGGTCGCGCATTTGTGCGCGGGCGGACAGGCGAGGAAGTGGGTGGTTGGACGGGGCCAGCGGGTCCCCACGGCAAGCGGCAGTGGAGGGCGCCGCCATTCCCCTGCTCTGACCCCACCTCCACATACAGCGTCATAACCCAGCGACTCTGAGTGGCCAGGCCCAGGTGAACCACCTAAGATGCTAATCCTCACCCAGCTGTGAGAAACAGCAGAGGGGGTCGCCATTTCCCCGCTCTGACCACGCCCCCACATACAGCGTCACAACCCAGCGACCTGGGAGTCCAAGGAGCCCCTTCTCACATTTAAAGGGCCCGAACAGACCAAGAATGGCGCAAGAATATCTCAAAGCCCCAGAGCCTATAGATCTAAGCGATGAAGAAACAGCAAAACTCTCAGACGCACAGTTTAAAACACTGGTCATCAGGATCCTCACAGAACTGGTTGATTATACCGACAAATTAGACAAATACATGAAGGCAAAACTAATTGAAATGAATGGAATTGCACAGGACACCAATAGCAATGAAAAGGAAACTGGGACTCAAATCAATGGAGTGGACCAGAAGAAAGCAAATAATGGCCAAACAGAAAAGAGTCAAGAAGCAAGAATTCAAAGAAATGAGGGAGAGTCTTAGGAACCTCCAGGACATCTTTAAACGCTCCAACATCCGAATTATAGGGGTACCAGAAGGGGGAAAGGCACAGCCATCAGTGGAAACCTTATTTGAACAAATAATAAAGGAGAATTTCCCAAACTGGCAAAGGAAATAGACTTCCAGGAAATCCAGGAAGCTCAGAGAGTACCAAAGAAGTTGGACCCAAGAAGGAACACACCAAGGCACATCATCATTACATTAGCCAAAATTAAAATGAAGGAGAGAATCCTAGAAGCAGCAAGAGCTAAGGGGACAGTCACCTACAAAGGAGTTCCCATCAGACTGTCAGTGGATTTCTCCAAAGAGACCTTACAGGCAAGAAGGGGCTGGAAAGAGGTATTCCAAGTCATGAAATCCAAAGACCTACAACCAAGATTGCTCTATCCAGCCAAACTTTCATTTAGAATGGAAGGACAGATAAGGTGCTTCTCAGATAAGATCAAATTCAAGGAGTTCATCATCACCAAGCCCTTATTATATGAAATGTTAAAGGGACTTATCTAAGAAAAAGAAGTTAAAGAAACATGAACAGTGAAAGGACAACAAACTCACAGTTATTAACAACCACACCTAAAACAAAAGCAAACTAAAAGGACAGCTAGATCAGGAGTGGAAACATAGAAATGAAGATCTCAAGGAGGGTTAGCAACAGGGGAGTGGGAGGAGGAGAAGGGGGGAGAAGGTACAGAAAACAAGTAGCATAGACATTAGATAGAAAATAGATGGGGGGGCAAGAATAGCATGGGAAATATAGAATCTAAAGGACTTGAGACACATGGTCATAAACTAAAGGGGGGGTAACGGTGGGGATGGGGGTAGGGTGGAGGGGAATGAAGGGGGGAATAGAACAACTGTAACAGCATAATCAATAAAAAAATTTTTTAAAAAGTGTAAAAACGTATACAGTAAAAAATCTCACACCTGTCTCATTTGCCTAGTTCCCAATATGACTTACAAAGGAAATATTTTTTATTAATTTGTATCCTCTTTCTGTTGCTTTATGTACACACAGGCACACATAAATGTTCTTATTTTTTAATTCATTTTATGCACAAAACATACCATATTGTATATACCCCTGCATTTGGAGAAAGTGGCAAACATTCTCTGACGTGTAGCTTTTTAATCTTATTTTAGCATTGCTTGTGATTAAAACTATGGGAGACATACCAGTTAGATTTTATAAGATTACAGTAGGGATTTCCATTTTAAAAATATGTGAATGTTATTTGGAAACTTGAAAATAAGGGGTATTTGGGGGGAGATATGGAATTTGATAGTTATCAATCAGATCTAATGTACTAATACATTATTTAGGTTCCTATATATTCACTTATACTTGTCTGTCCTGTCATGGATTGAGAAGGGTCTCAAAGTCTCACATTATCACCACTATTTTCTTTGATATCTTCTAGTTCTGTTTTATAGTTGTTACCATTTAGGAATATAGGAGAACCTATGTTTCTAAACCTCATTATGAATGTACCCTTTTGTGTTTTTATAAACTGTCCCTTTTTTGGCCTTGATTCTATTTTGTTTGATATCAGGCTCACAACCTTGGCTTTCTTACGGTGTTCATTTGCCTGTTACAATCTGTGTTTATCTTTTTTATTTTCAGCCCTTCTTAATCAATTGTTGTTTTTTTTCACCAGAGTTGTTTTTTTCTTTTGTGATACTGCACGAAATTTCTTTTTTTTTTTTTTTATTGTTGTTTAAGTATGGTTGTCTCCATTTCCATCCCACCACAGCTCTTCACCCCACCCTCAAACCTACCCCATTTGGCTTTGTCCATGTGTCCTTTATATATTTGCCCCTATTTTCCCCCATTATCCCTCTCCCCACTCTCCTCTGATTACTGTCAGTTCTTTATTTAAGTGTTTCTGGTTCTATTTTGCTTGCTTGTTTGTAGTGGTTGAGTTAAACATTTGTATTTATTCATAAGATAGATTTAATTGGTCTGACAGGTTTTATTGGTCTGAATTCCATCATAATTTTTCTTGTAATTTATTTTTTAAGGTCTTTCACTTTGTGATTGCATTGTTTATATGTAGTTTGTGTGTTTAGGAAATAGTTATTAAGGAATAAGGAAATTCTACAACTGAAAATTGTGTACAGTAAGGGGATTATTGTACACAGTTTATCTCATGGGCAATAAAAAGCTTGTGTATGAAAGTATTCACCATTAAGGTCAGTTTATATGCAGTATTGATTTTATTAATGAAGTAGATTTCCATGATATTTCAACATTCTAGATAGAATGTGTTGAGGTTTTCAAGATGCAACTGATGCTTCATTCCTTGTGTCTCACACATTTTCTAGGTACCTTGAGTCTACAGAATGGCAATTTACCTGTGCTCAAAGTCTGGTTGGAACCAGACTTTACTGAAATACTACTATGTTAAGCTATATTTTGACATATATATGAAATGTTTGATTTTTGGCCAAGTTGCAAATTATTATTAGATATTTATATCAGTAAAATTTAATTAAAAGGGAAAAAGTTGATATATAGCCATCCCTGATCTAAAGGTTTTCTGTTTATTTCTTTATGAACATAAAAAAGGTATATATTGCTTGAATTTTTTAGACTATATAAAGAAAGAAGTCAACATTTTGGTGAATATCATTCCAGGTATAGATAGTGCCAAGCACAGTTTTACATGAACTGGCCCTAGTTTTAAACTCAAAATCATTTTAGTTATTTAATTTTTAAGAGATGTAAGTATGGCTTATATATTTTCTCTTTCAGTGTTGTTGTCCAGACATGCTAAATAAATTTTTGGAGATGATCAAAGTAGAAATTTCAAGTACTGAAAGTAAAGATAAGACTGGTACAGAGAAGGAAAAGTTGATCATGTTAGTTAGTGACTTTTACTATGGAAAACATGAAGGAGATGTTGACAATGAACAGAAAACTTACACAACCTTTAAATGCTTCAGTTGCTTGAAAGTTCTTAAAAATAATATCAGGTATGTAAATATTTCTGTTTGTTTGAAAATTGGGATGCTACAGATGTAATATTGTATCTTTATTTTTTTGCCATCTTAGATAAGCAATTTTAACACTTTCTAGAAAGAACAAAGGCAGATTATCATGTTGAAAAGCCTTTTTCCTTTCTTTTATTTTAGGACTTTGACAGTTGGGTCCATTTACTTGTATTTCTTTCATATAACATAAGAAAGGACAAAATGTATTTTAACCTAGGGGGAAATTACATTTTTTATATTTATCATTAAACTAGGAGAATATCAGGGGACATTTTTATTTTTTAGTTGCTTTTCAATCTTGCTTTTTCTATCACAAAAAGAACCACTTAATCCAGTTTTGACTTCCATAATAGTCTTATTTAATGTACTAATTTTTCAATTCGTATTTATAACTTTTGAGACATTTACTTTGTAGTACAAAGTGACTTTTAGAAGAGGACCAGTTCTTTGAGACATGTCTGCTTTGATTTTGTAATTTAGCACATTTTAAAAGTGGAGATTTCATTCTCAGTGGAATTTGAAGGTTTATACATATATGCTTTAAATTTTAGGAATTTGTGCTTTGCAGCCTTTGAGTTGTATGCCATATTGCATACCTGTCATCCTAAGTGAGATAGTAACAAGAACAAAGTAACTAGACATTGATAGGCATTTTTCATTGTTTATACCATGTAACCTGACATTGTTTTTCCAGCATTTAATTATACAAAATTTTAACTATTCAGCAAAATTGAAAATTTTACAAAAAGCATCTGTATGTATTTATCTACTTCAATTCTACCATTAACATTTTACTGTACTTGTATTACTATATATTTATTCATTCATAGACCCATCTGATTTTTTTAAAGATTTTATTTATTTATCTTTTAGAGGGAAAGGGAAGGAGAGAGGGAGAGAAACATCAATGTATGGTTGCCTTTCGTGCATCCCCTGCTGGGAACTGGCCTGCAGGGAACCGGTCTGCAACCCAGGCATGTGCCCTGACTGGGAATGGAACCGCAATTGTCTGGTTCTCAGGCCCATGCTCAATCCACTGAGCTACACCAGCCAGGGCTCCATCTGATTTTTCTGATGCTTTTCAGAGTAAATTGCAGGCATCAGTGCTCTTCCCTTACATGAAATTTATGTACCTATATTGTGACTCATGCACACATGTAAACTTTTAAAAATATTTACCCTTGATAACCATCATATGTAAGTAACATTCTTAGGCATCCTGTAGGTAATTTGTAAGCCCAGAATTTATTTTATTTTCTGGTGAATTTTAGATTTAGAATGAAGTACATAGAAAAATGCTGAACTGTACTATAATATAAGCATAAACTAAATTATGAATACTATGTTTAGGGTAGGGCTTTACAATTTCCAAAGGTTTTTCAAATATTATTCATATGAGTTTTCACACTTCTTTACCTCCTTTTTATCAAGCCCTAATAGCCATCAGTTGTTAATGGTCTCAGTAGCTTAACAGAAGAGAAATTGTACTTTGAGATATAACACTGAGACACTGTGACCTCCTTTCATGTTTATACCATGTTTACAGTAAAACACATTAAATGTTATGCATATGACAGTAGAAGTTCTATTTAGCAAAAGTTTTTTGGCTTTTCCTTTAAGATTAGTCATTTAATATTAAATAAGAAATTTTCTGTTATCATTTCAGAAGACTGGTTACAGATTTCTACATTATCAGACTATCTAGAAAGTTTAAGCTATCCATGTTTTATAATATCTAGGAATTTTGTAGCTTTTTTGACATATTATTCAGTAAATGACACCTGAACAGTAAACACTGTCATATGTGTTAAATAACATTTTACCTTAATAGTAAAAAATAGGATGGCAAATTGTTGGTTTTGGAGAATGTTAGAAGCTAATAGCTCAAGATTTCCATTCTCTGCCCTATCAACATATTGTTGGATATTTTTTTCTACATTGAGTATAACCAATGTAGGGCTATTTTATTCTAAGAATAGCCTTGTAAGGGGTTTAAGCAGTGTGAGCTGCTGATAGGGGCATTGTAATAATTGAAAGATAGCTAGTTGAGTAAGATTATTTATACAGATTTTATTTCTTAAAGTCATGAGCTGAAAGTTTAGTGGCTTATGCCCTTTATATTATTTAGGCAAGACTAAAACTTAAAATAGATTTGAATAGAATGTATTCAAGTCTAAAAGTTAAAATGAGAGGGAAAAAAGACATTTCAAAGTGTACCATACATAAGCGGCTCTAAAATGAACTAGTATTTTGGAAGTATGAAAAGATAAATGTCAAAGCCTCCATAATGATTGGTATCTAGATTGATGACATTATCACTTCATTTCATTACTTCCTTTAGGGACTAATAGTGGTTGATGGTTAATATTTGACACAGTCTTGTTATTTTGATAGAATAACTTTATTTTGAAATTCAGTAAAAAGTTTCAGTAAGCCTTTGAAATAGATATGCCAGTTTCGATAATAATCTCTGCCATCGAAGGTCATACTTCCTCCCTATGAGAAGCCTTTTTGGGAATCTGACATAGTAGAAGTAGAAATGGATGGTATTGAACTAAAAAGTTCAGAGCCTGCAAGTTAAAAGGAATAATTTGTGCTAAAAGGAAACTAGTACCATTAAATTATCAGTATTAAAATGCTATAATTTAATACTTATTAATGCATTACATGCATTTAGAAACCAAGACACATAAAAATACTAATAATATTTCCTTTAAACAGCTGAAACCTATTTTATATATTTAAAGCCTTCAAAAGATTTCCCTCCTGACTCTATAGTAACTGCTTTTGGTGGTAGGATTTCCTTCTTTTAAGTATTTTGTTTTAAAATGTAAATAGTATTTCATATATGAAAAAGAAGCCTGCTGTTTTTCTTTACAAAAAATTTAACCTGAAATAATAGTGGAGAGTTCTAGCAAATTAGTGGTATTTCATATTAATTATTTCATATTTGTACAAAAGAGATTATTTTGTACAAATAGATTTACTAAGCCACTTAATGAAAGTGATTATTTAAAGTGCACATTTTTCACCCTGTTTGGTTGGGCTCAGTGGGATGAACACTGGGCTGTGGGCCAGGAGGCTGGTTCGGGGCATGCAAGAGACAGTCGGTCAATGTTTTTCTCCCTCTCTTTCTCCCTCCCTTCCCCTCTCTCTATAAAATAAATAAAATCTTTAAAAAACATAAAGTGCATACTTTTCTAGAGGATTTTGTGGCTTAGAGATATTATTTTGAGTAATACAACTGCTGTTTTAACATTTAGGCTCAGATAACTTATTTGTGACTCGTTGGTTATAAATCTGAATATTTGCACCTGTTGACAATTATTTATAGGTTTATGAACCACATGAAACACCATTTAGAACTTGAGAAGCAGAACAGTGAGAGCTGGGAAAGCCACACCACCTGCCAGCACTGTTACCGTCAGTATCCCACACCATTCCAGCTGCAGTGTCACATTGAGAGTACACACACACCTCATGAGTTTTCTAGTAAGTCACAATTTCACTGAAGTCATGAACATTAATGATTTTCATCGTCTAAACTATGAGGAATCCTTAAGAAATCTGATAGAAAAAATAAGAATAAGAAATAGACTTGGTAGTTTGAGGGCAAAGTTGAAAAACAAGTTTTAACTTATAGAAAATTTTCAATACAATTATTTACTAAAATTGAAGTTCCTTTTGTAAATAGGGCATAACTCATGCATTGTGTGTAAGGGGCTAAATTAGAAAACCAGATTCCCTGTTTTGCAAATATTAAATCAGTGGTCTTGATTTATACTCTAATAAGAAAAGTAACTGCAGTGAAAGTTAAAATCAGAGTGTGGGGTTAAACAGCTTGGATTCAAATTCCAGCTCTGCCTCTTAGTACAACTGCAAGATCTCAGGCCACTTACTTTATCTTTCTGTGTCTCAGGTTCCTCATCTGAAAAATAGGAATTATTAAGTAAGCTAATACAAGTAAAGTTCTTAGAATAGCATTAACAGTGTTAACAACTATAGAGTTGTTGGAACCATCATCGCTATTACTATTATTACTTGTTGCTGTTGTTATAGGTGTACAAAATGAACCTCTTATTTATATACATCCTTAATATGGTGCAATGTGTTTTTTTCCAATTTCAGCTATTTGTAAAATCTGTGAATTATCATTTGAAACAGAACATACTCTTTTACAACATATGAAGGACACTCACAAACCCGGTGAAATGCCATATATTTGCCAGGTACACACAGATTTTATTGTGTAGTTAGGTGTTCATTTGATTATCATGTGCCATAAAATAATGTTGTTTCTTTTGAATTTTTAACTATTCAAAGAAAAGTTACTAAAATTGAAGAGCCTCTTTAGTCATGGAAACTCCCTTGGTTTAATTCACATATATGTGGGTGGTGGGTTGGATTTGGCCCATGGGTCATAGTACTGACCCCTATACTAGAAAAGCAGAATACTCTGTTAGAAAAAGACAAACATATGGACTTTATTACCAAGTAGGGAAGAATATGGACATGCCAGAGAAATAGCAAATGCTGTTAGTTATGGGGAACTCAACTAAATGCTTTGTGGCCTTTATTTTCTCAGAATTTGAACTGGTTCCCAATAAGATAGCAAGATAAAGATAAATTGCCTCTGTCATATCCTGGATGCTATTTAAAATCCAAAGAAAAGAATACTCCATTTTAAATAGCAGGATAATCTTTATAGGATAAGAGGTATCAGAGTTTGAAAATTTAAGTCAAGGGAAGGGGTAGTAATTTAGTTACATTTAGGAATATATTTTTAAACTTTGAATGATAACTTCTCTTTCAAAGATTATCATTATTATTTACAGTAATAAGATTCTTCATTGTATAGGCAGCAGAGCTGAGTTAGTAGAACTTAATGTTCATCTGAACAAAGGATTCACTGTTGCTACTTTGATGTACTTGCATATCAGTTATAAATTTTGAAGTTAAACTAAACCTTCTTTATATTTCTAGGTTTGCCAGTTTAGATCATCAACATTTTCCGATGTGGAAACTCATTTTAGAGCATCCCATGAAAACACGAAGAACTTGCTATGTCCATTTTGCCTCAAAGTTAGTAGAATGGCAACCCCCTACATGAATCATTACATGAAACATCAGGTGAGATTTAGCAGTTCTTATGTGTTTATTTTGTCTTACTGAAAAGGTGTGTGTGTGTGTGTGTGTGTGTGTGTGTGTGTGTGTGTGTGTCACTTAAACCACTGGCTAGATTTGTTCTAGAAGGAAAGCAAATTTGTTGCAAATGATACCATTTATAATTTATGCTGAACTACTTGTGAAACTTCCACTTCCTTTATTTGTCTGCTTCCTGGTGATGATGAGGCTCATGAGTAGGGAAAATTCTGAAAGACAGGTAGAAATAGGAACCCTAGAGTGGAGGAGAAGCTAGAATATGAGTGGAATATTAAATTGGATATTTCAGGGGTCTAAGAGTGGTAAGAATGGGAGTGATTTTAAAAGTAGTGAATCAGGAGCAGGGAAAGGGATAAGTATGAACTGAGTAAGATAAGATTTAGGGCTCATAATCTTTTTCCTTTTTCTCTTCAAACTTTATTTCCAATTTCTAGCCCTTTTTTTATTATGCAAAGATGTGGTTCTCTTCAGTGGCCTGGAACGGTCTTTTGTAGCAGTCAGTGACAAAGGAAACAGCAATGAGATTTATTTCTAGATATGTAAACTATGCCAGAGAATTATGTTTATGTTATAACTTGTTTTCTGGATGACTTGCCAGTCCTGCTATGTAATCTCTCAGATGCCAGTACTAGTGATTTCATCTTTCCTTTGAATTCTCATTTTATGCCTGCTTGCTCTTTCCCTGACACAATTAGACTATCCTTTATTTTGGCTGAAAACATTGATATAAACCTAGTCTTGAGTGTATGAAAAAGCAATGGTACCTTTGCCAAAACCAGAAGTCATGGATTCACTGAATCTGATTATGCATTCAAGGTTTGTCTCCTCACAGATCAGCTCACTACATATTATTGATTACATTGTCATGGCCAATTTATTTAGCACTACTGCTAACATTGCTTTTAATTCTAGCCACCTGATAATCATAAAATCAACTTGTAGTTGTTAATTGGGAAAAATCATAAAATTAGCATATCCAAATACATTTAGGACCATCTATGTTATGACTGGGATGGTACCAACACATGCTTAGTTTTTTATCCTGGTATGCCACCCTACCCTTAAGGGTAGGTATGCCACCTACCCTTAAGAAGGATCTTTCTGTTCTAGGGTCTGCACCAAAGTTCTATCAAATGTTAGTAGATATCTACTCTAAAATTGTTCCTGGAAAAAAACTTAGTACATGGCTAGATTTATAAAATTAAATGATTAGCTTTTGTTTATTTTTAAAATAAGACTTTTCAGAGCTTCTAATATGCTAAAACTCATAAATGTCCAAGCAAGGGGTATTGTATATTTTATCCCCAAATTTTATTTGACCATTGAAACCTTTATTTGCTCAATACCTGTTAACATTTCTTGAGGATCAGGATTTGGGAAACACTGGTCTTGGTGCTCTATATTTAATCTTTTGACCTTTGATTTTGAAAGGAAGTAGGAGATAAAAGCTCTATTATGAAGCTTTTAACATAATTTTATCTCCCATGCTTTACTAAACTCCAGGGTACAATGTAGGTGCAGAGGGAGTAATATATGCTTAGAAAGGTAAGAAAAAGAAGAATGGGCCTGCTATATAAACTGTGTCTTTTAAGTGGTTTATATAATCTATGGTCACTCTTCATACCTCAAGTTGTACATCTGAACTTGCCACACGTATAGGAAAGAGTTAACCAAGCAGGTCTGAGTTGCTTAATTCATGCATATTTTCAGAAGGGTCTATTTGCATAACTGGTCTTGGCTAACTTCTAGAACCGTTGTTATTAACTGAGAAGTGTTTTACATGCCTGCAACCTTCAACCAGGTTTTCTAGATCATTTGTGCAAAAAAAATATGATTATGGTGAACACTTGCTTTTCTTCTGGGCATCTGAAGGTTTGGTGACAGAACCCATGAAAAAATCTCAGCTCTTAGACTCAAGAGAGCTTCCCTAGCCAAAAAAAAACCAAACTACTTCATAGATGTTGCTAGGGGATTGAGTAAGTGTGTCTTACACAACTCCATTGGGAGAAGGTGCTTGGAAACTGGCACCAGTATCCTCCAGACTCCCATGCACTTTTTTTCATTAATCCTGCTCTGTATCCTTTCACTGTAATAAATCAGAACTGTGGGTATCACAATTTCTAAGTCTTATAATTCCTCCTACTAGAGCACAGGTGGCAAACACAAGGCCCTCGAGCTGAATCCGGCCCTCCGCCTTGGTTTTATCTGGCCAGGCACCTTATTTCTGCCCAGTGGCAGTGTGGAGCTCTCACTTAACTGTTAAGGAGTGGTTATATTGATACAGTCCTAAAATTACACTCGGTCCTTTGAAGGCAACCACAAGGCTAATGTGGCCCCGGTGTAAATGAAATTGACACCTCTGTACTGGATCCACAAACCTGGGAGTAGTCTTGGGGAAATTGACACCTCTGTACTGGATCTACAAACCTGGGAGTAGTCTTGGGGACTGCCTACACACCCTGGGTGCCTAGGGTTTTTTGTAAGTTTCCAGTACCTAAGAGGGAGGCAGTCAGGAGTCAGCAGAGGAAAGGCTCTATTAATACGAAAGGTCACCAGGCATCCTTCAAAGTACTTGCAATTTGTGTAACTGTTCACAAAGTACTGAAAAATCATAGCAGGATTATAAGCTTATAATTGCGATGACATTAGTGCAATTTTACACAAGAATTGTTGAGTCTAGAGCCAATTTTATTTTTTTTTAAACTGTGGTTGTAACTTTTTTATAAAAGAATATATTATGTTTTAAGTGATTTTAGAGTTAATAATACAGCTTGTACAACTTTTAAGAAAGGGTGAAGGATTTCAGATGTGTTATATAGCCTCATTAGGTCTGTATAATAATAACAAGCAGTTAACTTACACTAATCACTTACTGTATGACAGTTACTAGTGCTTTTACTTGTATTATCTTGTTTAATCCTCACCACCACTCTACAAAACAGGCATATGGTCATTCTCATCTCATAGATGAGGGAACAAAGCTTTGTAGAAAGTAAGTTACTTGCCCAATGTCACATTCTCTAGTAAATGGCAGAACCAAAATTTGATTTACAGCCAAAGCTTTTATCTCAGAGTCATATTCTTCTTTGATGTTAGGTCTGAAGGCAGATTTACAGAGTCAGGATTACACTTGAAAATCCTTCAAATCACCCAAACAATATAGTATGCTTGTCAAAAGTTTAACAGACACTTTTCTTTGTCCTTGGAACAGATCACTATTATTTTTGGTTGAGCATACTACACTATTAAAAAATGTACTTTTTCATCCTTAGCACATTGCAAGCATGCCTGAGTAAAATAGGTATGCAGATTTGAGTCCAACTAAAGGAACAATAGATTGTCTCCCATCTCAGGGCTCTGGGCAAATGCTCATAGAATGGAATGGCAGACATTGGAACTAGTTAAACTCTGCCTGCTTTTCATGTGCATTCTCTGTCAGTCTTTTGCTGTCTGTCTCACTATTTAACAAATACAGGGTAGGACAAAGGTAGGTTTACAGTTCTTCATATGGAAAATAATACAATAATTAATAAATAAAAATATAAGAGTAAACTGTTTTTGCATACTCACAACTGTAAACCTACTTTTATCTCACCATGTATTTATACAAAACAAAGTTCATGGCTTCTAAGATTTGCATTATAGTGGAGAAAAGTATGTGTGTGATACATACAGTATAGCTCCTTTTCATATTATCATGTGTTTGAATAATTTCTACTTCAAATTTAAATTCAAAAAGCTTTCACCCTATAAATGCTATATAGAACTTGTCCCATTAGAACCTAATTGTTATGACAGTGACCAGAGGGGAGAAGGAAGAGAAGTTAAGGGGAAAAAAGGGGAGGGATTTGGAGGAACAAATAGGAAGGACACAGGGACGAGAACTAAGGGGGGTGGAAATGGGGGGGAGGTGGGAAGCAAGGGGGGGGAGGCTGGGATGGGAAAATAGACAAAAAAAACTGTACTTGAAAAATAACTAAATAAAATTAATTATTAAAAATAAATAAATCTATCAATCTTTTTCTTTGGGAAAAAAAAGAACCTAATTGTTATAATTTTCATGTTGATTGCCTATATAGTAACAAATACTTTTGAAACCCAAATACAAATGCAAGAAGTGCTTTTAAATAATGAAATGATATTTTGGTGTTATTTATGATGGAATATGGTAAAATACTGATTTTTACATTGTTTAGCTATTAGAATTAAGAACAATTTCAGGTCCCAGGATTTGTGGTAATAGAAATTACTATTTCTAATATTATTTGTAAACAGAAAAAAGGAGTTCATCGCTGTACTAAATGCAGACTACAATTTTTGACCTGCAAGGAGAAAATGGATCACAAGACACAGCATCGGACATTTATAAAACCTAAAGAGCTAGAAGGTTTGCCTCCTGGTTCAAAAGTGAGTTTTAAATATGTTGTATTTTAACATTTTGTGTGATAATAGAGATAAACTCCTGCATGGTTTTATCTATTGAACATAATAGTAAGATTTTAATTTTTAAGATTTATCTTATGTTTGGAAAGAAAAACTTCTGTCCATTCTTTTCGGAGTTGGTTGACATGTGCTAACTTGGATCATATTTCTTTGTACTGAATGCAAGTAGATTAACTGCAGTCTGAGTCAACAGGTAGAATATTCCTTCAATATTCTATAGGCTCTAGAGCTATTCCAGTTGGCAGCATATATATCTGCTTCAACCACTACACTGTAAGGTCAGGAATCGTGTTTATCTTTGTGTCTCTAGTGTGTGTCATAGTGCCTTGAATGCCATGGTTTGTTGAAGCCTTGTGTACATTTTTTCTGATTCTTTATGTAAAGTCAGCTCTTGGCTGTGCTCCACTGGAGGGATGCCTAATCCAAATTGAAAAATTCCCAAACATTTATATTTGGCTTTGAGCACTTACCTTTGAATGTGCATATGTCTACTATTTGAATGAACTAAAATAATGTAAATTAATGCTCTGAATATGTAGAGCCAGAGAAGCTATCCAGTATCCTTCCTTCTATGCATTTCATTCCTTCCATGATGGGACTAGACATGCAGAATACTAATGTAAGCAGTGCAGTCCTCCCTCAGATCTTCTCTTACTAGTAGTAACAACTAGTATATTACATTATATTAGTATATTACATTAATTATAATGATTGTAATACTTTAGAATTAAGGTTTCAGTGTGCTTTTTCTTACATTCCATTGTTGAATCCATGTAATAATTTAATGAGGTAGACAAGGCAGGTATGATTCCATTATTATAAATGAGGAGGCTCAGAGAGAATACGTTACTTACTCAGGGTTACATGGCTAGGAATAGGTAGTACTGAGACTTCACTTGGGTGTTTTGACTCCTAGCTCAGTGGTTTTTGTAGTACACCAAACCACATGTATGACCAAACCATTACATATGACTTCTTAATTGGCTGCTTCTCTAATACATGGAGGCTGTATAGTCGAATGATTAAAGAGAAGGTAAATAGAAAACTGTGCTTTCCATTATTAACCAGTGGGTGTAATCAAACATTTTCTTTTTCTAAATACTAAATGATCAATTTTATATTAGCTCCCTTAAAGGAGATTCTGAATATTATAAAACTTTCCATGATATATGGCAGGTTGATGTAACCTCCACAGTAACCTTTGGAACCATAAATTTTGCTCTGTGAGCCCCCAGAGAAAGCAGGTCACATTTACTGGAGATCTGCTTTATAGTCATCAAAGAGTGGTATAGGCCTTTCTAGCCCTGGGTGCTATGGCTCAGTGGATTGAGTGCTGCCCTGCAAACCAAAAGGTTGCCAGTTTGATTCCTAGTCAGGGCACATGCCTGGACTGCAGGCCAGGTCACTAGTTGGGGGCATGTGAGAGGCAACTGATTGTATCTCTCACACACTGATGTTTCTCTCCCTCTCTTTTTCCCTCTCTTCATCCTCTCTGAAAGCAAATAGATAAATAAATAAATAAAATCTTAAGTATAAAAGAGTGATGAGGCCATTCCAGAGTTGTTATTTCAGGCCTTTGAGATTCAAATTTTGACCCCTAAATTTGTGAAAGCTATTTAGCTATATCAGAGCATAAAATAGCCATGAAATATGTTTTTTGATGATAATAATAATAATAATTAGCACTAACTCCTAATTATCAGTTAATACCTATGTTATCATATAAATACTATCAATACAATACTGTAATATTATAACAGTAAGTAAATATTGATGTAAATTTAATTTAATTGGTATAACCATTCAGAATAAATGGAAGATTTAACTGATTGTATTTTATACTTATCATTTTCAAAGTAATGATCTTTAACTCTTTGTATTTCTGTATTTTTTAAACAGCTTTATTGAGATATAATTCATATACCATACTATTATCCCATCACATTCACAGAATTGTGCAACCATCACTACCATCCATTTTAGAACATTTTCAACACCCTCGAAAGAAACCCCATACCTATTCATAGTCAGTTCCTATTTCCCCTCCACTGGCTCCAGGCAAATGTTAACCTTCTTTCTGTCCCTGTGGATTTTCCTACTCTGGACATTTCATATAAATGGAATCATACAATAAGTGATCTTTTACGTCTAACTTATTTCACTTAGCATAATGTTTTAGAGGTTCATCCATATTGTAGCTTGTATCAACATTTCATTCTCTCTTATGGCTGTATCAGTATTTATATACCACAACTTATATATCAGTACATCATTCTTTTTTATAGCTGAATGTTATTTCATTATAGGAGTACTCCATATCTTATTTATCCATTCACCAATGGACATTTAGCTATATGAATAATGCTTCTCTGAAAATTCATGCACATGTTTTTATGTGAATGTAGTTCATTTCTCTTAGGTGAAATTGCTAGAATGGAACACCTAGGAGTGAAATTGCTGGGTTGTATACCTCTTATATTTAACATTTTGAAGAACTGCCAGACTGTTTTTCAAAACTACTCTACCATTATACAATCTCACCAGAAATAATGAGGGTTGCAATTTCTCCACATTCTTGACAACACTCGTTATTATCTGCTTTGTTTTCTGTGTATTTTATTGTGTCCTGGCTGGTGTGGTTCAGTGGATTGAGTGCTGGCCTGTGAACCAAAAAATTGCTGGTTCGATTCCCAGTCAGGGCACATGCCTGAGTCGCAGGCCAGGTTCCCAGTGAGGGGGCGTGTGAGAAACAACCACACATTGATGTTTCTCTCCCTCTCTTTCTGTCTCCATTCCACTCTGTCTAAAAATAAATAAATAAAATCTTTTTTAAGTATATATTATTGATTCTGCTATTACAGTTGTCCGTTTTTTTCCTTCCCTTTATCCCTCTGCACCCTGTACCCCTTTCTCTCCAGCACTGCCCCCCTTAGTTCATGTCATGAGTCATACATATAAGTTCTTTGTCTTCTCCATTTCCTATACTATTCTTAACCTTTCTTCATCTATTTTGTACCTACTAATTATGCTTCTTATTTCCTGTACCTTTTTCCCCACTCTCTCCCATTCCTCTCACCACTTATAACCCTCCATGTAATCTCCATTTCTTTGGTCCTGTTCCTGTTCTACTTGTTTGCTTAGTTTGTTTTTATTTTTACTTTTGTTTTTTAGATTCAGTTGTTGAGAGTTCTGAGTTTGTTGTCATTTTACTGTTTATATTTTTATCTTCTTTTTTTTTAAGATAAATCCCTTTGCCATTTCTTATAATAAGGGCTTGGTGATGATCTGAGAAGCACTTTTTCTGCCCTTCCATTCAAAAGGATAGCTTTGTTGGGTAGAGTAATCTTGGATGTAGATCTTGCCTTTCATGACTTTGAATACTTTCCAGCCCCTTCTTGTCTATAAGGTTTCTTTTGAGAAATCAGTTGATAGTTTTATGGGAAGTCCTTTATAGGTAACTCTCCCTTTTTTCTTGCAGCTTTTAAGATTCTCTCCTGCCCCGGCTGATGTGGCTCCATGGATTGAGTGCCTGCTTGCAAACCAAAGGGTCACCGGTTCAATTCCAAGGCTATGGCACATATCTGGGTTACAGGCCAGGTCCCCAGTAGGGTCACACAAGAGGCAACCACACATTGACCTTTTTCTCTCTCCCTTTTCCTCTGCCTAAAAATAAATAAATAAGTAAAATCTTAAACTCATAGTTACCTTTTAAAAAAATTCTCTCCTTATCTTTAATCTTGGGTAATAATGATTATCATATGTCTTGGTGTGTTTCTCCTTGGGTCCATCTTTTTTAGGACTCTCTGAGCTGCCTGGACTTGCATTTCTATTTCCTTCCCCAGTCTGGGGAAGGAAATAGACATACTCCTTCATTATTTTTCAAATAAGGTTTCAATTTCTTGCTCTTCCTGTTCTCCTTCCGATACCCCTATGAATCAGATATTGGAACATTTAAAGTTCTCCCAGAGGTTCCTAAGACTCTCCTCATTTTTTTTTGTGAATTCTTGTTTTTTCATTCTGTTCTGGTTGAATGTTAATTTCTTTCTTCTGTTCCAAATCTTTGATTTGAGTCCTGGTTTTCTTCCCTTCACTGTTGGTTACCTATATATTTTTCTTTATGTCATTTTGTACAGCCTTCACATCTTCCTTTATTTTGCATCTATACTCAGTCAGTTCTGTGAACATCCTGATTACCAGTGTTTTGACTCCATCTGACAGGTTAGGTGTCTCCTTGTTGCTTAGTTATTTTTCTGGAGTTTTGATCTGTTCTTTAATTTGGACCCTATTTCTTTGTCTTGGCACACCTATTACATTGTAAGAGGCAAATCCTTAGGTATTCACCAGGGCAGGGCAACCCACTTCACTGTGTTGTGTGGGAGGGGTATGAGAGGGGACAGTGCCACTTGCTCAGCTCTTGGTTGATGTTCACTCACTTACCCTGCTACTCTCAAACACACTGCACCCTTCTGGTTCTGATTCTTTGATGGGTGGTTTTGTGCATGTAGGACCCCATAAGGCCCTCCAACAGACTTTGCTATGAAACTGACAGTTTCTCCCACTGCCACAGGTCTAAAAACTCCTACAGGTTTTTTAAAAAATTTATTTAATTATTGTTCAAGTACAGTTTTCTGTTTTTTACTCCCATCCCAGCCCACCCCCCCAATGCTCCCCAACTCCCTCCCATTTCCACCCCCCTTAGTTGTTGTCCATGTGTCCTTTATACTAGTTCCTGTAAATCTTTCCCCCTTTTCCCCCTGAAATTCCCTCCCCTCTCCCCTCTGGTCACTGTCCACCTGTTCTCTATTTCAGTGTCTTTGTTTTTATTTTGCTTGCTTGTTTGTTTCGTTGTTTAGCTTCCTGTTAAAGGTGAGATCATATGGTATTTGACTTTCACTGCTTGGCTTATTTCACTCAGCATAATACTTTCCAGTTCCATCCATGCTGTTGCAAAGGGTAGTAGCTCCTTCTTTCTTTCTGCTGCATAGAATTCCATTGTGTATATGTACCATAGTATTTAGATCCATTCATTTACTGACAGGCACCTAGGTTGTTTCCAGTTCTTGGCTATTGTAAATTGTGCTGCTATGAACATTGGGGTGCATAGGTTCTTTTGGATTGGTGTTTTAGGGTTCTTAGGATATAATCCCAAAAGTGAAATTGCTGGATCAAAAGGCAGGTCCATTTTTAAAAACTCCTACAGGTTTTTAGAGCCAGAAGTTTTCAGGCTTTATTTCTGGTACTGGAACCCTGGGTAGTTCGGTCTGTCTCACTCCCTAGTTGTTCCTCCTGGTTTATCACACACAAATGTGGAACCACCTTTTCCACCAGCTGTGGCACCACTCCTCCCCTCCTACCTGTCTAGATGAATGTTTCTTCTTTAAATTCTTGGTTGTCAGATGTCCATACAGTTCAATTTTGTGACAATTGTGGCTGAGGTTTTTTTAATATTTTATTTATTTATTTTTAGAGAGAGGAGAAGGGAAGGAGAAAGAGTGAGAGAGAAACGTCAGTGTGTGGTTGCCTCTCATGTGTCCACTACTGGGGACCTGGCCTGCAGCCCAGGCATGTGCCCTGACTGGGAATTTAACTGGGGACCCTTTGCTTCACAGGCCCATGCTCAGTCCACTGAGCTACACCAGCCAGGGCTGTCTTTTTGTTTTTAAATTTTTTGTTGTCCTTTTGGTTGTGTGAGTAAGTGAAGCATATCTGCCTATGCCTCCATCTTTGCCCTTATCTGCTTTTTCTATTATAGCCATTCTAGATGGTCTGAGGTGATATCACATTGGAGTTTTTATTTACATTTCCTTGATGAATAGTGATATCAAGCATATTTCATATGCTTATTTTCCATGCGTGTATCTTCTTTGAATGAAGGCCTATCAAATCTGTGATTGCTTGCAGTGATCTTTTTAGTATTATGGTGATGATTAATTTTATAAAATATACGTTGCCATTATAGGTTACTATTCGAGCGTCATTTGGACACCTTCATTCAAAACCATCAACTACATCTTCCAGTGATACTCCAAGCACTTCTTCTCTTCAGGTGTCACCTCCAAAGTCGAAAAATACAACTGCTAAAAATTCCACAAAATCTAATGCAAGTAAGGCTAAGATGTATAAGGCTCGTGCAACTACGTCCACTGCAAGTAAAACATCCAATGCAAGTAAGCAAGGTAGACGTGCATCTAAATGCAAAGCAAAAACCTCTTACAAGCAAAAGAAACAACGCAACAGAAAGAACAAAATCAGCATAGCTTTGAAGAATTTAAGGTAATATATTTTATTCCTGATTCACGTCAATTTACGTTAAATATTAAAGCTTTATTTTAATATAATTTACCATAGCACAAAACTCTTGCACATTTACGTGTTGATTTTGTCTGGCATAAACATCAAGCAGTAAAAAGGTACTTTTTATAACTGTTGGGCAAAACTTGAGTTAATGTGTTTATTTGTGTAATTATCTTTTACATTAACCTTGTATTTTGTGTTTATATGTTGTGATAGTCGAATTGGTTAATATGATCCTTTTCTTTCCAGGGAAAGGTTAACTGCTGTTAGATTTTTTACACGTATCCTAGCTTGTTTCAAAGAAAAATTTCAAGTTATTAAATCTCTATTTATTTAAAGATGTTAACTTAAATATCTTAGCTTCAATTAATAAAATGCTAATAAAGCTTTATCTTATTATTTTTGTTTTACAAACAAATTTTATCATTTTTTTCTGTCTCCATAAGGTGTTGCCGAGGAGTTCACAAGTGCATTGAGTGTCATTCCAAAATAAAAGATTTTGCAAGTCACTTTTCAATATATATCCACTGTAATTTTTGCAAATACAACACTAACTGTAACAAAGCCTTTGTAAATCATATGGCGAGGTGAGTTAAACTCGTACACTGCCAATCAAAACTGCCATTCAAGGTATTTGTGTTTTTTGTTTTAAACCAAATTTATCCTATTAGAAGCCAGTTTGTCACATCAAAGAGCTAAAGGGATCTAGCAATAGGGAATTTCTAGGATATTGCCCAATACTGTTTGCCAGCATAATGAAATTAATGGCACAAAATTTTAAGAACTGAAGCTAATGAAATTAAAATAAGTTTGTTAAGGAAATTTATTTTTCTAACTCTTTCAAAAATGGTTCTTTCCAAACATAAAATTTTAATGTTTTAAAAATATTTTTTCAATAAATACGTGTAACCCACATGAGCAGTCACTTTGAGAGACATCAGATTTGTTAAAGATGGTAAGACCCATTATTGGTGATTACATTTGCATGCTCTCTGTTTCTATCCATCGTCCCTCTGCCTCACACTCTTGTCTCTCATCCATCCCCCTGTCCATTTGTCTTTCAAGTCATCCATCTTTTCTTCCATTCAGTGAAATGTGACATGAGAGACTGTAGGGGATATTCCAGTCATGATGCTACTATTAGAATTTCTTTCATACATCAACTCAATTTAAATTACGTACTTTAGCACCTACCATATGAGGTCTGTCCAGAAAAAGTCCAACCATTATTAATATAATAGGAACAGTTTGCATGGTATTGGTGTAACCTGGCAGCCAAGGAGAGTGGACTGGAATGCACATGTGTGAAACAATGACAACCTCACTGTACTAGTCAGTGGGGGCAGTAGACGTCATTGGGTGAGCATGTGTACTGTGTGACTGTCACATTCAAAATGACTGAGCAAGTAGACCAACAAATCTACATCAAATTTTTTTAATTACTTTTTTCAAGATTTTATTTATTTATCTCTAAGGGGAAGGGAAGGAGAGAGGGAGAGTAATAAATATGCACGGTTGCCTCTCGTGGGTCCCCTGCTGGGAACTGGCCTGCAACCCAGGCATGTGCCCTGACTGGGAATCGAACCTTGGTTGTTTAGTTTGTAGGCTCACGCTCAGTCCACTGAGCTACACCAGCCAGGACAAATCTACATCAAATTTTGCATTAAGTTTGAACATTCCTCTGCCAAAACTATTCAGATGATTCAGAAGGCCACAGCTATGGGCAGTTGGTGATTGGCAGCTTCATCCCAACAATGTGTTCCCTCATGCATTACAACTCATGCAGAGATTTTTTTGTGAAACATCGAATCACCCAAGTGACTATCCCCTTACAGCCTAGATTTGGTGCCCTGAGACTTCTGGCTTTTGCCAAAACTAAAATCACCTTTGAAAGGGAAGAGGTTTCAGACCATTGATGATATTCAGGAAAATACTATGGGGAAGCAGATGGCAATTAGAACTGTGTGAGGTCCCAAGGTGCCTACTTTTAAGGGGACTGAGGTGTCATTTTCCTATGTACAATGATTCTTGTATTTTATACCTTCAATAAATGTCTCTATTTTTCATAATACATGGCTGGATACTTTTTGGACAGGCCTCATACACTTTATACTTGAAAAAGACTTCAGAACCCACATTACTTTCATTTGGATTTCATTTGTAGCACTTCCTCAGGATGGATTCTTTTTTAGTAGACAAAAATTTTTTGATATAAAGTGATTATTTAAATTAAAGTTGTTCTATTTATTTTTATTCTGAAATAAGGTATAACCAATAAAAGTGGTTTTCTCCTAAATCATTACAAGACCTTTGTTACTTTCTGGTCATAGTTAGCTTCTGCTTCTTAGGATTTGCCCACATTTTTTTATGGCTTTGGCACTTGGCCTGCGAGGTATTTTTCCCCTTGATGATCAGCCTGACCTCATGGTACCTTGACTTTTTTAAAGCCAGCACTTCACATCCACTTGTGACATTTTCTACCCCCTGCTTTACTACCCTCCCCTTTTAACTCATCATATACAATATTTATTTTGAATTTTTATTACTCCATGACTTTCAGTCTTGATCCATCTTTTTTTTAATAGCTTTTTAAAAAAAGATTTTATATATTTATCTCTGACTTGTGGATTTCACAATCCAATTTCTGTCACTTATTTTTTTAAGATTTTATTTATTTATCTTTAGAGGGGAAAGGAAGGAGAGAGGAAGAGAAATATCAATGTATGGCTGCCTTTCGTGTGTCCCCTGCTGGGAACTGGCCTGCAACCCAGGCATGTGCCCTGACTGGGAATCGAACTGTGATCCTTTGGTTTGCAGGTCCATGCTCAGTCCACTGAGCCATACCAGCCAGGGGTTGATCCATCTTTTTAACCATCTGCACAAATCCAACTTTATAGTCAACCTCACCTTCAAAATCATCTGTTTGAATGTTGCTTTTTGTCCTGTAATTCTTTACATCTTAGTCATGTTTAACCATGTTATCCTTCAGTCTTTTATCCAATTTTTAAATTCAATCTCTATTAATTTTTCCCATTACCATTTACTCCCCTTATACCCCTCTCCCCAGCAATCACCACACTGTTGTCCATGTCCATGAGTCCTTTTTCCTTTTTGCTCACTCCCTCTACCCCCTCACATCCACCCCATTAGCTGTCCTATTCTCCATCTATGAGTCTGCCTGTTTTGCTTGTTAGTTCAGCTTGTTCATTAGATTTCACATATGAATGAAATCATGTGTGGTATTTGTCTTTCTCTGACTGGCTTATTTCACTGAGCATAATGTTCTCTAGGTCTCTCCATACTCTTGCAAAGGGTAAAATTTTCTTATTTACTATGGCCGAGTGGAATTCCATTGTGTAAATGTCCCATAGTTGTTTTATCCACTCATCTATTCATGGACACTTGGGTTGCTTCCATTTCTTGGTAATTGTAAATAACATGGCAGTGAACATAGGGGTGCTTATGTTCTTTCAAATTAGTGTTTTGGATTTCTTCAGATATACTGAGAAGTGGGATTGCTGAGTTAAAATGCAGATTCATTTTTAATGTTTTGAAATATCTCCATACTGCTTTCCACAGTGGCTGCTCCAGTCTGCATTCCCGCCAGCAGTGCAAAAGGATTTCCTTTCTCCACATCCTTGCCAGCATTTGTTGTTTGTTGACTTATTGATGATAGCTGTTCTCACAGGTGTAAGATGCTATCTCACTGTGGTTTTAATTTGCATTTCCTTGATGATTAGTGACATTGAGCATCTTTTCATATGTCTATTGGCCATGTGTGTGTCCTCTTTGGAGAAGTGTCTATTCCAGTCCTTTGCCTATTTTTTAATTGGGTTGTTTGTTTTTTTGGTATTGAGTTTTGTAAATTTTGGATATTATACCCCTTATCAGATGTATCAGTGAATGTGTTCTCCCAGTCGGTAGGTTGCCTTTTTATTTTATTGACCATTTCCTTTGCTGTGCAAAAACTTTTTAGTGTGATGAAGCCCCATTTGTTTATTTTTTCTTTTGTTTTTCCTGCCTGGGGAGATATATTTAATAAAATATTGCTATTTAATAAAATAGTACTATGAGCAATGTCCGAGATTTTGCTGCCTATGTTTTCTTCTAGGATTTTCATGGCTTCAGGTCTAATATTTAAGTCTTTCATCCATTTTGAATTTATTCTTATGTGCGGTGTGAGAAGGTGGTCTAATTTCATTTTTCTGCATGTATCTGTCCAATTTTCCCAACACAGTTAATTGAATAAACCATCTTTAGCCCATCATATGTGTTTACTTCCTCTGCCAAATATTAATTGACTATAAAATGTGGGTTTATTTCTGGGCTCTCTCTTTTGTTCCATTGATCTTTGTGTCTGCTTTTTTTTTTTTTGCCAGTGCCAGGCTCTTTTGATTACTTTAGTCTTATAGTATATAGTTTGACATTAGGTAGTATAAGTCCCCCAACTTTGTTCTTCTTTGTCAGGATCTCTATTGCTATGAGGAGCCTTTTGTGATTTCATGTAAATTTTTGAATTATTCTAGTTTTGTGAAATACGTCATTAGAATCTTGATAAGAATTGTGTTGAATCTATTAATTGTTCTGGGTAGTATGGACATCTTAATGCTGTTAATTCTTCCTATCCATGAACATAGTATGTGCTTCCACTTATTTGTATCTTCTTCATTTTCTTTCTTCAGTATCATAATTTCATGAGTACAGGTCTTTTATATCCTTGGTTAGGTTTATTCCTAGGTATTTTATTCTTTTTGAAGCAATTGTGAATGTGATGGTTTTCTTCTTTTCTCTTCCTGTTAGTTATTATTGGCATATAAAAATGCAACTGATTTCTGAATATTAATTTTGTATCCTACTTTGCTGAATTCATTTATTCATTTATAGTTTCTTGGTGGAATCTATGGGGTTTTCCATGTATAGTATCATGTCATCTGCAAAGACAGTTTTACTTCTTCCTTTAAAATTTGGATACCTTTTATTTCTTCTTTTTGTCTGACTCCTGTGGCTAGGACTTATAATACTACATTGAATAAGAGAGATGAAAGCAGACATCCCTGTCTTGTTCCCGATCTTAAGGGAAATGCTTATAGTTTTTGCTCATTGAGTATGCTGGCAGTGGGTTTGTCGTATATGGCCTTTATCATGTTTAGCTATGTTCCCTCTTGCATAATAACTACCTGAAATTTGTTAAAACTGATTTCTGGGCCCTACTGCCAGAGATAAATTCAGTAGTTCTGGAGTAGAACCTAAGGCTTTGTATTTCTCATAAGCTCCTAGGTGATGCAGACACTGCTGGTCCATGGACCACATTTTAGGTAATGCTACTGTGCTATGCCAATCCTAGCTAATCCTGCCTGGATTTCTAATATAGGAAAGCTTTCCTTATCAGTTTAAAAGGGAATATAAAAGCTGTTATCATTGGCTACAAAATTTGGTTAGTGGTTTTCTGTTCTATGTGTATAGGGATTACTGTTTTAACTCCAGAGCTGTGCTTCCCTTAATTCACTTTCCTTAAAAGCTCTCCTGGTAATTGCAAAAGATTATTTAAATGTTTTGCTTTACTAATGGTAAGTAATGTCATTTATCCCAGGTAGCACTTAACTTTGAGGATCATTTAGATTGTCCTTACTCACTAAGTACTCAATATGATTAGGAAGTGATAATTATTATTTATAACTTTATATTGTAATGAAATACATTATTAGCAAATATCTTTTACATTGTTTTCAACCCTTAATAGTTGGAAATTTCCATTTGATGGTCTTTGTATTTTAACTATGAGATTTTCTTATATACAGTATTGTGGTACCGATCATTTAAGAATATTCTTAGGGCAATATATTGTTAAAAATACACAGGTACAGTGACATATAAGATAAAAATTCTGAAGTAAACAGATGACTGATAGAATGACTGATAGAATTTTACAATGTAGACCAGGCTCTTTTATTCAAAATTAATAAACTAAACATAGACTTGAAATATGGTTATAAAATTAATACAACTTATTATGTAATAAAATCTAATTTGTCTCTTATCTCTCCAGCTCTCATGGCAGCCATCCAAGTAAACAGTTTTCTATTTTTAAGAAGCATTGTAGAACTCTCAGGTAACTAGTTGATCTTTTTTTATTCTCTCTCTTTTCTGTTGAAAAATTACAGTACCTAACTCTTTTCCTTTTATTTATTTCTTTTTATTTTTAAAATATTTTATTTATTTATTTTTAGAGAGTGGGAAAGGGAGAGAAAAAGAGGGAGAAAAGCATCAATGTGTGGTTGCCTCTAGCATGCCCTACACTGGGGACCTGACCTGTAACCCAGGCATGTGCTCTGACTAGAAATCGAACCAGTGACCCTTTCATTCATAGGCTTACCCTCAACACACTGAACTACACCAGCCAGGGCTGTATTTATTTATTTCTAGGGAAAGGGGAAGGGAGGGAGAAAAACTTCGATGTTGGTAATTGTGGGGGGAAGAGAGGGTGGGTAGAAGTGGAAAAGGGTATAATGAGAATAAAGTAATGGAAAAATACAATAAAATGTTTATTTTTTTAAATCCAACTTTTAAAATGAAATATCAATGTGAGAGAGAAACGATTAGTTGCCTCTCATACACACTCCAGCCGAGGATCAAACCCACAACCTAAGCATGTACCCTGACTGGGAATTGAAGTGGCAACCTTTTGCTTTGTGGGCCAGTGCCCAACCAACTGAGCCACACTGGTCAGGACTATAGTAACTTCTTTTAACCTGATGCTGGAGTGCCTCATTTGGAAAATGAAATGATTACTCCTGGATATATAGAGTTCTGTTTATTATATGCTTGGATCAAAGAGGGGATATAGTCTCTAGCTAAACTGTGTTTCAGTGGTATTAGTCATTAAGATAAAGCTTTTGTAGTTTCACAATGAAAAACAAAAATTCAGTCTCTCCAACAATATTTGAATATAAAAGGTGTTTAAGATTCCTAGTAAAGTAACTAATACTTTTTTATCAATATATAGCCTCATAATTTGTAAGGTTTTTGTTTTTGAAATAAAAGTACACAACTTGTTTACTGTACAAAAGGAATTGTCAATTAACATTTCTAAAGGTACTTATAATTAACTTTGGTTATACCACACACTTAGCTCAGAATCCACTAAATAAATAACTACAGTAATACAAGGAGGTTTATAATGAGTGCCATGAGAATTAATGATTTCAAAGGAAAGAGAGGTTTCTACTTATATGAAGGGGCACATGGGCATTCTAGGTAGAAGACAGCATGAATAAAATTGCAGAAAGGAAAAAAGCAGAAGTCACAGTACAATTTAGATAGAGCATGAAGTTTATGTAAATAGTATTGAGATCAAAGTGGGGGGGTCGTTTTTAGCTTAGATCCAGATTGTGGAAGCCTTGAAAAAGGCTAAGGAATTTGAACTTCATTTTAATTTGAGGACATTGGGAAAAGCAATGGTTTTTTGTGCAGAACCAAGAGTACTAAAGAAAAGTCCATTTGGAGGGATATAAAAGGTGAGTTGTAGCTGTATAGGGCACATAGACTAGTTAAGACTATTGTTGCAGTTAAAACTAATTTAATAACCTGGGTTAAGGTGGTGAGGCAGTATTACATCATGTTTAAGAATAAGGGCTCTGGAATCCGAGGGCCGAGTTTGAAACCGGGCCCTTGCTTTGCTAAGTTACCAAACCTGGCCCTGTCCTCTATTTAAAAAAAAATTATCATTATAACAACTACTTCTTTGCGTTTCTCTAAGATTTAGTTGAGACGATATGTTAAACCTTCAGCTCAACACAGTAAGTGCTCAATGAATTGTTAATATTATAAAATGTTTGCCCTGGCTGACATAGCTCAGTGAATTGGTGAACTGCAAACCAAAGGGTCGCCAGTTCGATTCTCAATCAGGGCACATGCCTGGGTTGTAGGCCAAGTCTCCGATGGGGGGCCACATGGGAGGCAGCCAAACATTGATGTTTCTCTCCCTTTCCTCTCTCCCTTCCCCTCTCTCTAAAAATAAATAAAATCTTTAAAAAAGTAAAATGTTTGAAATATTGACAATTTTCAAGAAAAAAGGTGTCAAAACTACAATTTTGAGGGAGTGTTGTTGTTGTTATTGTTGATATGACATCATAAGAGAGACCATTCAGGAGAAGTGACTTTCAGGGGTGGGGAGGAAAGCACATGACTTCAGGTGTATGAAGATTATGTTTTAATGCTATATACTATACTTGATTTGAATTTTTTTAATTTGGATTATAGTAACCATAACCTTTCTTAATCAGGATACTTCCATGTATATACATACTTTATTAGTGGAAAAAGTAGTCTAAATTGAATAATAAATACACACACATGCAAAACAGTTTTAACAGAAGAGTAAATTCTGTAGAGAAAATAGAACTTCAATGAACCTATCAATGAAAGAAACCAGTCACAAAATAAATGCCCCATACTCTGTATTTTCCATTCATATGAAATGTCCAGAATAGGTAAATCTACAGAAACAAAAGGTAGATCAGTGATTGCCATTGGCTAGGGCCTGTGGGGGTTAGGAAAGGTAGGGACAAGTGAATACTTATGTGGGTCATGGGATATGGAATTTCTTTTTTCGGATAGTGAGAATGTTCTAAACTTAGATTGTTGTCATGGTTGCACAGCTCTGTGAACATTCCAAAAATCAATAAATTGTACTCTTCAAATGGCTGAAATGGATGGCATGTGAATTATGTATCATAAAACTTTCCTTTAATTGGTTGCCTCTCACACACCCCCAACTGGGGTCTGGCCCACCACCCAGGCATGTGCGCTAGAATGGGAATCAAACTGGCGACCCTTTGGTTCACAGGTCGATGCTCAATCCACTGAGCCACACCAGGCAGGGCTAAAACTTTCCTTTAAATAACACCTCAGAGATGGTTTCCCTAAACTGCCCAACACATGGGTAGGTCAATAAAATCCAACTGGGAGAGCAACCAAACCTGTGGGTGAATCTCCTTTGCTCCACCCTCTCCTCTTGCTTTGTCAGTGGTATTTGACTAATCTCTGCTTCTGTCTCTGCTTTCATCCCATTGACTTGGAATTGTGCTTCCCCATCTGTTCAAGAACTTGACTTTGAATTTCTGGTCCTCCTTAAAAATAACATCAAGTGCTCTTTTAGAATGTCCACTATCTAAAATGCTGCCTCCTGGATCTCATACAAAGTCTGACAGCCTGAGCACATTATGCATTTCTGGACCAGTGCATTCATGGCCTCTGCCAAATTTCTATTGTTTTCTAATCCAAACATCAGTCTTCTCTCAGCAATGTTAAGTTAGTATAGGGTAGGGGCTCTGATTGATGCCAGGCCAGTCTCCTCAAGGAGACTTTGCTTCATCTTGTGGCAGTCCTGCATATCTAAATGAGATGTCATGAAATACAGGGGGTCTTATGCTAGAGAGCACCAACCTTTTTCTTTAGTCATTAAACTAAGAAACTAGTGGATTTTCCATTTGGACTGAACTAGCCTATCCCCACCAGGATTCAGATTACAGAACAGAATGCCAGGGAGTTCACAGCAATACTATCTGGTCCCCAGCATTAAAGATGCCCCCACCTACCTATCATATTCAATGGACCCAGGAAGCACCTCTCCAAATAATGATCACTTACTTAATGTTCATATTTGGAATGACTTAGAAAAAGGAAAAATCCTAATAGCTTATATGATCCAATGGAAAGGTACAAGTCAGACATGTAGTTTCCTTGGGTTGTTCAGCTTTTCCTAACTTTCTCCACATTCTTATGAAGATCATTCTTGATGTGCTAACATGACACCCAGATATAAATACATAATAAACTATTAAGACTAGAGCTGCAGGGGAGAAGTCAGTCTAAGGTATATTAATGGTTTTTATTTCTATACAGATCAAATACTTAAATTTAAAATGAATTGTAAAAGTATATTTACATTTTGTTCATAAGCTGATAATAACAATAATTACATTATGTTTAACGATTTATTTTTAAAGCATTCCCATTTTTTACGATTTTGTTGTCACTTAAGATTTTATATTGTAGGCTCTACAAAGTAAATAAAGTCCTCAACGAATATAACCAGAGACATTGAAATAAAGAACAAACTGACAGTCACCAGAGGGGAGTAGGGAGAGGGATAATAGGGGAAGGGCCAGCAAGGAACATGTGTAAAGGACACATGGGCAAAGCCAAAGGGGGGTAGGTTTGAGGGTGGGAGGCAGGGATGGGTGGGGCTGGGAGGGAATGGTGGGGGGAATGGAGACAGCTATACTTGAACCACAGTAAAAATATTGCTAAAAAAAGAGTTCTCAACAAATACATATTGCATGAATGAATGTTATATTCTTGCTTTGCAGATAGGCAAAGGCACAGAAATACTGTGCCTTGCACTAGTTATACAAGTTGTTAGTGGAGCCACAACTGGGCTTTAGGTCTCTTGACTCGTATCTTTTAGCAACTGGTATGAGAGGAAACAGTTTATAAAGCACTAAATGTTAGCATAACTTAGACATGGCTATGCCATTTTCTAAAGTACCATTTCAAATATATCAGGTCACATAATAAAATTGAAAAATAATGGTCATGTTGCATAAAAAGGAAATCAAGAGTTATTACATGGAGCCCTGACTGGTGTGGCTCAGTGGATTGAACACCGGCCTATGAACTGAAAGATTGCCAGTTCGATTCCCAGTCAGGTCATATGCTTGGGTTGCAGGCCAGGTCCCCAGTAGGGGACATGTGAGAAGCAACTAATCGATGTTTCTCTTGCACATCAATATTTCTCTCCCTCTCTTTCCCTCTCTAAAAATAAATAAAAATTGGGGAAAAAAGAGTTATTAAATGGAAAAAAAACAATTATTCAGCCTGTGTATAGGTTTTTATAAAATATTAAAAAACTTTCCCAGGCTGGTGTAGCTCAGTGGATTGAGCACGGGCCTTCGAACCAAACAACCGTGGTTCAATTCCCAGTCAGGGCACATGCCTGGGTTGTAGGCCAGTTCCCAGCAGGGGACACACAAGAGGCAACCATACATTGATGTTTCTCTCCCTCTTGCTTTCCCTTCCCCTCTAAAGGTAAATAAATAAATTTTTTTTAAGAAAAAACTTTTTTTTCTCTCTCCTTTTTTTTCATAGGGGCATTACTCTTGTGTGCCTTAAATGTGATTTCCTAGCTGATTCTTCTAGTTTAGATCGTATGGCTAAACACTTAAGTCAACGTAAAAATCATACTTGCCAAGTTGTAACAGAGAATGGTATGTATATATAATAATTGCATTGTTTTATATTTCTGATATTACTTTATTTTTGATCAACCACAATATGGGGTCTTAATTTTATTAAGTTCATATAGTCTTATTTATGTATGCTATTTTAAGTGTTAAACACTTCTAATTTCAGTTCCCAAAAGTACCTCAACTTCTGAAGTCACTTCTGAGTAAGTTGAATTTTCATTCACTGTATTTTTCTTTGATGGATTTTTAACAGTTGCATATTTTAATGTATCATTAATAGAAATGAAAAATATTAAAGTATTTTGTTTCTGTTTTTGTTTTTAAAGCTGCTTGTTGAAATAGATTCCTGCTCTATGGAGCTCGTGCAACCTGGTGCAAGACAAGTTGGAATTTCCTAAGTTCAAAGTTCTGAAGTGTTTTTTTACACAGAGCCAGTTTCCTAAGTTCAAAGTTCTGAAGTGTTTGCTCACACAAAAACGGTTAAACAGCCAAGTTCATGACACTAGTTCTCATTATTCAGCTCTTTCCAGCTTTCAGATGGCACTAGATTCTTATTCCACCTTATCTTTGTGTCAGGTTAACATATCTTAACATACGCTTTTTTCCTCTAGTTGGCTCTCTCCAAAAATAACTTTTGTTTGTTATCATCTTTCTCGCTTTGCTTAAAATAATTTGTGTATTTCTCTGCTGTATTTGCCTTCAGAATATTGCATTTCAAATGTTATGGCTGTTCACCTTTTTTTTGTTGTTGTTAGTTAAGTTCATACAAATCTTACAGTTTTAGGTCAGGTAGCTGTCTTTCTTCTCGTTCTTTGTCTGTCATTATTCTGTTTTTCATATTTTTCAGATGGAGAAGCAACACAGAAATTTCAAAAATGTCCAGGGTACTCCTGGTCAGTGTCCCCCTTCATTGGACACAACTGATGCCTGTTCTCTCTTTCCAAGAAATATGAGTTGTTTAACTGTGAGACCTCTTCTAGTTTGTGGCCCTAGCTTGAGAAGAGTCCCTTCCTTCATGGTGGATCATGCTGATTTGGCCAGAGATGACCACCAAATTGGACACAACTTCCCACTAGGGCCTTTGGTTTTATACCTTAAGCTTATAGGTCAGTTCTGACCAAGAAAAGCCCATCAGATCAATGCTTTAACACCCAAGTTGAAGTTTAATCATTTAGGCTGCTGTCCTTTAGTCTTCTTCGGTCATGTGTGCAGTTTAATGACTATAAAATTTGCCAGTGTAGATTGTAAATTCATGCTCTTGGAAAGCAACTTTCTAAGATTACAGTTCCCAGCCCTGGCTTGTGTGGCTCAGTGGATTGAGTACCAGCCTATGAACCAAAAAGTCACCAGTTTGACTCCCAGTCAGGGCACATGCCTGGGTTGTGAGCCAGGTCCCCAGTGTAGGGCATGCCAAGAGACAACCACACATTGATGTTTCTCTTCCTCTCTTTCTCCTTCCCTTCCCCTCTCTCTAAAAATAAATAACTTAAAAATAAATTACAACTCCCAATTTACAGTTATTATTATGGTCATTTTAAGCTTTATCCAGTATTAACCCTAGGGGTTTTTGGCAATACTAATATTTTTAAAAATTTTTTAAAGATTTTATGTATATTTTAAGAGAGAGGGGAGGGAGGGGTAAAGAGAAGGAGAGAAACATGGATGTGTGAGAAAAACATTGACTGGTGCCACTTTCACACCCCCAACTAGGGACCTGGCCTGCAACCCAGGCATGTGCTCTCACTGGGAATTGAACCAGCGATCTTTTGGTTCATACGCTAAAGCTCAATCCACTGAGTCACATCAGCCAGGGCTTTAATTGTTTTTAATTTAACTTAATTTTATCTTGGTTTTATGTTGTTCTTCAACAAATTTATTGAGGTCTGTTCTGTTCTGTCCACATTTATTTCTTTTCTTTAAACCTTTTGTGTTTGTTTTGTTAAGAACTCCAAGAAATTCCGTAGACTTCTCTACAGATTTCACTTAGCTACCTATTGGTATCTTCATAATTTGGTTATTTTTCACACCATTAGACGTTATTATACCCTTTATCCATCTTAGAACTATTATTAACATTATTTTAGTGATTGTGAGTTCAAAGATATAAAGAATTGACAAAAAACCCTTTCTGTAGACCTTAAAACAAATTTTAAAGTTACATTTCTGTACATGTAATGCATAATATCTTCTTAGCCATTAATGTAATTCCTTTGGATAAAGATAATATATTCAAAACTATTGGGACCAAAAATGCACTTGTTTCTTGCATATGTGTGTGTGTGTGTATGTATATACACACACATATATACATAGATGTATATATTTTTTAATTTGGTGTGTATTTTGGTTACATTGACTATAGATTTGGTGAACAGTTTTGATGTTATTACTTATTTTTTTAATAAAATTTGTATTGTTAAAGTGCCTCCGAAATTATTTTCTAACAAATACCATTACATAGAAGCTGTAGATTTCATCATACCATTAAGAACATTGTTTTGCTTCTTACATGGAAGTCTGATTACTTAGCCTACAGATGGGGAGCTCTATCTACTAAGTACATACATATTGTTGTTTTCCGTCCAGTACAGTTAAAAAGCTCACTGTTTATAGTTTACTGATTTCTTGAACTTTAAACACTGGGAAGAGTTCCTTTGTGATCTTAATAACTATGAAGGTGGGCAGGCTCTGAAGTTTGATTCAGTCATGGGTGGTTTTTCTCTTAATGTCAGAACCCTTGAACTATGAAACCGCCTTAGTCCATTTGGGCTGCTATAACAGAACACCATAGATGAGTAGCTTATATATAATAGAAATTTATTTCTCACAGTTCTGGAGGCTGGGAAGTCTGTGATCCAGGTACTGGTAGATTCAGTGTCTAGTGAGAACCTGCTTTCTGGTTCATAGATGGTCATCTTCTTACTGTGTCCTCACATGGTAAAAGGGTTAAGAGAGTTCTCTGGGGTCTATTTTACGATCCCATTCATGGGGCCTTCACCCTCATAATCTAATTATCTCCCAAAGGCCCCATCTCCAAACACCATTACATTGGGTGTTAGATTTCAATGATTGAATCGGTGGAGGGGTGGACACAAATATTCAGCCTATAATGAACATATTGAAAACCAGTTTTAATGACCATTTCTTATATAGTCTAATCTTTGAAATTAATAGTCAAAAGAGTTGAATCTATTTAGTTTTAATTTTCCAGACTGATTTCTGCTATAAATGATTTTCCAAAATCTTCAAAAGTGTCTTCTTTCTTAGTAATGGGTTTGGTGATACTCTACTGTTTATTTCCAGATCTGTCTCTAGGATGTTTTTTCATCTACCATTTTTCTACCCCCCCACACACCTTTTTTTTTTTTTTTTTTTTTTTTTTTTTTTACTTTTCAAAAGTTGTGGTAAAAATATATGGCATGAAATTTGCCGTTTAAACCACTTTCAAATGAACAATTCAGCAGTATTAATTACACCAGTTTTTAAACTTTTGCTCAGAAATAACTTCTTTGTGGTTTTGACATAAGTTCTATTTTTATATGAATATTTTATCTGCTTCTGTCATAGTTCAAAATTATAAATTACATTCTTGCTCTAGCAATGTTTTAGATAGGGGTACAGCATTGTGTTCTTCCAGGAGATCATATTTCTTATGGTATGTATTCATTTTCTTTAAGTATAATACACTTAAAGTTCTGTGACCTGTAGCATAGTTTTTACTTGTTTAAATAAAACGTTTTAGGCGGTCAGTACTAAGCTTACTTATTATAGTCAGTTGGGTTTTAATTGGTGCTGAGATTTTTGGTTTGACAGTCTGAGCCCTTTACTTTGAGCACATTCTGATAGTAATGCTTTACCTGATTCAGAAATAGCCTTCTCATACATGTGCACTTTTTGGTTACAGCTGAATAAAAGGTGTGATTGACTCAGTTTCAATCCATCACCATATTAGAAAAATAACCTCTAAAGTACAGAGACTTAGTTTCTTGCTCTTGTATTGGCACACTTTGGCAAACGCTTCAGCAAATATTGAGGACTTACTATGTACATGACACTGTTCTGTGTAGTGGAAAAACAGACTGAAATTTCTGCCCTCATTGAGCTTACATTTCAGTGGTGGAAGACAAAGAATAGAAAATAGAAAATTATATAGTATGTTAGATGATCAATACTATGGAGAAAAATTAAGGAAAGAGATAGCGAGTAGGGATTGGGAGGCTGCCATTTTGAATTTGATGGTCAGGGTCACCTCCATGAGATGACAATTGAGTAAATATCTGAAGGAGGTAAAGAAGTGAGCTACTTAGGTATCTATCAGAAAAGCCTTCAGGAGAGAGAATTGGAAATGCAAAAGCCCCTAGGGGGCAGTTGGAATCACCATACATTGCTGGTGGGGATGTAAAATGGTTCAGCCACTGTGTGAAATAGTTTGGCAGTTCCTCAGAAAGTTTTACCATATAACCCAGCAATTCCACTTCTAAGTATATATCCAAAAGAATTGAGAGCAAGGACTCAGGTACTTGTAGATATATGTTCATAACGTCAGTACTCACAATAGCCCAACGGTGGAAACAGCCCAAATGTCATTAACAGATGAAGAGAGAAATAAATTGTAGTATATCCATACAATAGAATATTATTTAGCCATAAAAAAGTAATGAAGTAGTGATACATGCTACAATGTGGATGGACCTCAAAAATATGATGCTAAATGAAAAAAATAAGAAAAGGTCACATTGTATACTTTGATTTATATGTAATATCTAGAATAGGCAAATCCATAGAGAAAGAAAATAGATTGGTGATTGCCAGGGGCTGAGGGGAAGGAGGATTGGGGTGTGACTTCCTAATGGGTAGTTTTGTTTTTCTCGGTGATGAGAATGTTTAGGAACTAGATACAGGTGGTGGTTACACAACCTTGTGAATGTACAAAATGCCACTGAATTGTTCACTTTAAGATGGTTAATTTTATAGTATGTCAATCTTGTACCAAAACCAGAAATAGGAAGTCAAACTCCTTAACCGAACCTAATAACAGTCTACAACAAACATAATGATGGGGGGGGGGGAGTTTTAAAGGAGCATCATGCCTGACTTGAGGAAGAGCAACAAGACTGATGGGCGCTACAGCAGAGTGTGTGTGGGGTTGGGGGTGGACTGCAGGAGGGAGTAGTACAATATGTGGCCTGAGATGTGATATAGACCCATGTAGTATAGGGCCTTAAAGCTAATTGTAAGGATTTGGCTTTTATCATGGGATAGGACTCCATTAGTGGATTTTGATCTGAGGAATATGTTACACCCCAATGAAAAGCAAAACTTCTTAACTATAGTCCTAATAGAATCAGTCTAGCTGCTATCTTGAAAATAAGCTTCAGGGGAACTAGGGCAGAATCAAGGAGATCAGCTAGGAGACTATTGTGTTAATCCAGGTGGGAAATAACAGGAGTTTAAACCATTAAAAAAGTTTGCTGTCTTCAACAAGCTATTGTGCATCTCTTCTACTATTTTTAACCCTCCACACTGAAAAACATCTATTTACCGACACTGCTGTGATGTATGGTGGTGAGAAAGAAGTTCAGCCTGGAAATAAGATAACCGTAGGTTTAAATCCTGATTTTGTATCTAACCAGCTGGGTAGCCTCAAGTAAATTACCTGAACTTGTCAAGTCTCAGCTTCCTTATCAGTGAAAGGCATGTAAGAGTAAGGAGCATGGATTATCTATTTGTCTATCTATCTATCTAGGCAAGCAGAGACAGGCAGATAGATAAAATTTGCCACTGGTCTGACAAAAAAGTAGGCAATGAAATGCTGCTGCTTACACAACTATCACTAATGTCAGCACTGTTACTGCTGTCATTGCTGTTACCATTCCTACTGCTGAGAGACGACCATGGAAAAGATAGAGCAATGGAGTCTTCTCATTGACAGTTTTACTGGCAATCCATCAGCACTGTGGTTATCTGTAACTTTGGCTTATAGTTCCAGGTCTTGCAATAAATATGCTCCTCCAAACTTCTGGATGGATGACATTTTATCACAGTGCTTCCATTACTTGTATAATTCTCTAAAGTCAGAAATGAGTCTAGTTCTGGCTTTTCCTGTCTAAAGACTATGAAACAACACTGCCTTGTTGCATACTAGTAGAGAATCCAATGTGTTTTGGAGGGAAGCATTCCTAGGGTGCCTAGAGAATCCCTTTTTACAGGAAACTTTTTAGTAATCATTACCAGGAATTCATTTCCAGAAATCTTGCCTACTTATCCAATACTATTAATCTTATGAAAAATATACTTGTAAACACCAATAGTAAGGTGGTCTTTCCTTCTGCAGAACTTCAAAATGATTAAAATGTACCTGCTTTTCTCAGAGGTTAATTGTCATTCAGTCTTGGCATTGTTCTAGATGTTAGCATTATCTCCTTCTTCCTCTTCCTCCATTTTCTCCAGTATATCTACCTGAATAGATTAATTATGACATTAGAATAGAAGGAATGATTTAGTGGTACACATTTCTTTTCCTTGATAAAATATTGAAGATAGAATAACAATTTTTGTTTTGTTGTTGTTTTTGTAAGTATATTTACTTCATTATGCTATTACAGTTTTCCCAATTTTTCCCACTTTATCCCCCTTCTGCCCTGCATCCCCCAACCCTCCAGCATCCCCTGCCTTAGTTCATGTTCATGGGTTGTACATATAAGTTCTTTGACTTCTCTGTTCCCTATATCATTCCTAACCTCTGTCTATTTTATGCCTACCAATTATGCTTCTTATTCCCTGTACCTCTCCCCCCATTCCTCCTCTATCCCTCCCCACTGAAATCCCTCCATGTGATGTCCATTTCTCTGATTCTCTGCTTAGTTTTTGTTTTCATTGTTTTTCTTTTTTCTTACTTTTTGGTTCAGTTGATGATAGTTGTGTTTGTTTTATGAACAATCATTTTACTGTTCATAGTTTTTGATCTTCAATTTCTTAGATAAGTCTCTTTAACATTTCATATAATAAGGGCTTGGTGATGATAAGCTCCTTGAACTTGACCTTATCTGGGAAGCACTTTATGTGCCCTTCCATTCTAAATGATAGCTTTGCTGGATAGAGTAATCTTGGATGTAGGTCCCTATCTTTCATGACTTCAAATACTTCTTTCCAGCCCCTTCTTGCCTTTAAGGTTTCTTTTGAGAAATCAGCTGATAGTCTTATGGGCATTCCTTTGTGGGTAATTGTCTCCTTTCCTCTTACTGTTTTTAAGATTTTCTCTTTGTCTATAATCTTGGGTAACTTAATGATGATTTTTGATTGGTTATTGTCTTTTTGGTCGTGTGAGGAAGCGAAGGGTTTCTACCTATGCCTCCATCTCGGCCAGAA